CAAACTCGGCAATCCATAAAACTAAAGAGAATACACCACACCATATGTGTGGTGAAGCAGACGAACCAAATGTTAAATTGTAATCAATTCGTTTCTTATCCTTTATCCTCATAATCTGACGGAGTTGGTATTGAAGATGGAGGGGAATTATCCGAAATGCTGTTTCCACATCCGATTTCCATAGCATTAAATCTTGATTTTCTTTCTTCATGTCAATAAGATACGGTGCAAAATTTTTCAACGAGTCGTAGGTAACTTCAATGTTGTCTTTATCGATCAGATCATTCGGAGCTGGTCGACCTGCGCTCATATTGGAGCAAACCCGCATCTTCAGAGAATCCTTTTTCGACGTCATTAATAGAGGTATGACTTTCATCCCTGGCAACAAAGTACTAAATTCAGCTGAGTACCTTCCTTTGTCAATCTCTTCTTGACATTGGACTTCCAATATCTCTTTGTAAGTATCGCAAGAAGAATGATTAGGACCATCCACCACTTCGGACAAAGGTAATGAAGAACTCGGCCAAAATCCTAATCTTAAACCTTTCAGAACTGATTCCACGAAAGGCCGATTAGGATGCTTGATTAACAATGTTTGTAGCTTATCTACCTTTATCGGAGTATTGATCTTAAACAGATAATGGTACTGTTTTAAAGCGTAAGCTGCATCGATGTCTTCGTCGAGAGATGGCGCATCGGGAAATGGTCTTGCTTTAAGACTTGATTCAATAGCTGGCGAACTTCCTTGTTGATTCACGCCATCCCACATGTATCCCCGCAAAAATCTATGTGAAGAAAACTCGTCGATAATCATTTGCTCGTCGTCATTATTCGCACTGGAAATAACTTAAAAGTCAGTGTCAATTTCTCATGACGTAAGCCTATTCTTTCATCTGTTTTCATTGATATTTTTTAGAGAAAAACCCACCCAAAGACGGATATTTTGTCTTTTTCAGGCATGTTCAACTCCTGGGTGGAGTTTCCGACATCCTTTAATGTTCTGTTGGTTATTCACACAAGATCAGATCCCCGCTAAACTTCTAAAAATTTCGAATAGAGAAAAATATCAAAACTACCAACACATCTATGCATCCGGGGACACTTGTCACCAAGCTTGCAGTTTCCAAGATTAAACGCGAAGCAATATTGCTCTTCTTCACGCATGTTTCTTGTATCTTCCACACCCAAACCATTCTTGTACTTATAATTGTGATTATAGTATAGAGGAGAATTTTGGTTTTTCGGATGAGCTTGTTCCCTTTGTCCTGATCTTTGACGATTCGGTCCTTGATAAGGTCTCGAACTCGTTGATGCTTCTGGCTGTCGAACTTCAAAAGCCTTCGCCATGTATTTTGTCGCCAAAGTTGATAGTGATTTATGGTCGAAATCACCGAAAGATATATTTTCTTTAGCGGCAAAGTTTCTTCGTAATGCTGCGTCGAAGTTCGCAACACAAACCCAATCTGCTTTAGATCCATCTGACATAAATTGATCCTTGATAAATTCGGCGTATTTCTTAAAATCTTCATAACAACTTGGAAATGCTTCTTGGTACGTTTTTTGAAGTATATCGAAGTAATAAAACCACTCCTGAGCATCAATAAGCTTTTCGGATAATGATTTGTTCTGTAAAGAAAGATTCTTGTCTTTCCCATCCAAAGTAAGAGGAGCTTGATATCCTTTTTGCTTTGCCATGTATTCTCCTTTAATTCTTCTAAGGTCGATGTATTCACCTTCCAGTAACTCTTTTGATAAAGTTTTTGGAAAATCTGACGGTCTAACAGTTCTATTAAAACCTTTAACGGCTTGTGATAAACTGGATTGATAACCTTTTTTAGCTTTTGCAAATCTAATAGCTCCTTGCGTATAAGACGCTTCTGAATTTGGGCCTGACTCAGCTCTAGAGGACCAGTCCCACTTCTTTTGTTTTCTAGCCAACTTCTCATCTGAATCTTCTGATTCTTCAGAATCAATATCTGTTTTATTTTTCGATTTCTTACTCTTCCTTTTTTGACTAATTGGAGGAGTTGATTTTGATCTTTGAGAACTATCTTTTTCTTTATCATTCTCGGCGTCCAACAGATTTCTGGCTTTCTGTGCCATATCAATCTCGTATTGAGTGAGGATATGAACCTGAGGAGTCGGTTGTTTACTAGGTACATCCTTTTGTTTGTCCAGGACAATGTCTTCTGGAAACGTTGGATTTGAAGACAGGTCGAAGACATATACTGGATCTGTTTCTGATAGAACAGGCCTTGTAGGCGTTGGTCCTTCATTTCTATGATAGGGTCGATCATTATCTTTGTCGATTTTGATAAGATCGGATGCAAATTTGGACCATTGACGGTACCAATTTGGTGCATCGTACGGAACGATCTTGGAGAATAAAGATCGAACTTCCGCCAACGTTTTACTGTTGGAACCACCTCCTGTTTCATATTCGGAGGAAAGTTCTGCCAATTTTTCACCCACAATCCTCGCAGCATCGTAATCAAATGAACCATTTTCGCTCATGAGGATCTACTACTATCTCTTTTTCTTCTGATTTTAGAGAAATTTAAAAAAATTTATAACTGGAAAGATAGAGAGAAATTCTTGAGTTTAATGAAATTTGTTGACGATAGTAACTGCTATGGGAAAGTTGAGGATGATGGTGGTCAACAGCTATGATGTCATAGCTGATGAATTGAGAGATAAGGTCAGGAGAAGTCCGACCCGTCAGTATATGTTTACATGTAAAATCATCCAACTTTCCCATTCCACTATGTTAATAACGTGTTACCAACAACGAGGAATATAAAAGATGGACCTCTATCTACCTGTGAGCTCGAAATGAAAGAAGAGCGTGTCAGGAAAGATGAACAGGAAATGATAGAAAGTTACTAAGGTGATAGTATTGATATCAGTTAACAGTATGATCAAAATCTGAAGTGAAACATGAAAAACTCACTGATTCTTTTTGACACAAAAAGAATCAGAAAAAGAGGAAAGAGGGAATTACAAATAGAGAAGAAACCCCCAAAAGAAATCCAGCCGCATCCCTTGGTTCAACTTCCATGCATTAGCCCCTTTGTTAACCATCAGATTTTCTGCTAAGTCTTCCATCACATACAACCCTACACAACCATTTACCACCTCCATCTTTATCCATCACACTTACCAAAATAGGAAATGATCTTTGACCACTCTTATCAAGATAGTATCTTAACAATTTTACCTTGAAAACAATTACGGTACTCAAAACAATCAGGTTCGTGCCACCTTTTTCAAAAAATGTCAAAAACATAGATTCAAAGTTGATCTTTTGGCGGGGGAATTCCTGGGAATTCGCTGGAACTTTTTTTTTGGATTTTTCTACAGTTCATTTTCCCCACAAAAACGACATTTTGAAAGCAGGTTTTCAAGAAAGGTAGCACGAACCTGATTGTTTTGAGTACCGTAAATACCCAGATCTGTTCAAAATTGCAACTCAAATCAAAGTGGGTAAGTTAGGAACATCACTGATCAACCATCTGAATAAACCCTTTGTCAAATCAGTCTTAAATGGGTTATTCCTTTGTCTGAAATTGTAGATGGTCCTAATCTTATAATGTGCTCAACAAATCAAGAACTTTTGGAACTTAAATTTCAAGACAGAATTGAGAAAGGAAAGCACTTCAAGGAATTTGCTACAGCTCTTCAAGGCATGAAAGTCATTCCATTATTGATGGTTTCAGAGAAGGAGTTGTCCAAAATGTGTGTATCCTCACACATGAGTACAGGTTGGCCATCTCCTAATGATTTAGTAAGCAAGGAGGATACCAGAGTTGCATATGACTTCCTTAAATATTTCAATCCATTATAATTGAGATGAAGAGCCAATTCAGGGAAGTAGTTTTGTATAAATCAGATAACAAAACTGATTTTTAGAATTCCTATAGCTGGAATTGATGTTGCATATGTAGGTGGTCACATAACATTGATGTTCCATGTATAGTTTCAATCCTAATTTCTCCATGCTTTACAGAAACCACAGTTAAAATTTCATTGTGACTTTATTGAATCAATTTGTTCATTTGAAAAGATTGTACCATCCTGATTAGGAGTGCTTTTATAAGCCTCTCATGAATTACTTCTACCTGATATCTGATCCAGATTACAACAGCATGTTGTGTGCTGGATCAACATTGACTTTCTCAATTTGATAATAATTTTAACTTGATCAAGCATGATTCATGTTATCCTCCATTTTATCAAAATCATATATACAAACATGTCAAGTGCATTCAATTTCCTTGATGTCTTCCATAGGGTTCTGTGGTGTGTACTTACTTACCAAACTTTCAATTGGACAGCGCAAGTTACACTCGAGTCAGGTTCAGATCTGGTCAGATGTATAAACAGCTTTCAATCAGATTCGAACCCAACCCATTAAAAAAGCCTTTATATACCACAAAGTGGACTCGGTCGGTATCCATTCTGGCCTTTTGGCTTAGATCAAGTGTAGTATCTGTTCTTATCAGTGTAATTACTGGTATTGGTTCATCGAACCAATCAATTAATTACTCTTATCTTTGAATGCCCTCGACCGCTCCCTGGCTTGCCAGCGTGGTTGAGACGATGGCCTTGGGCTCACACTACCCCCTTGTGCTGTCAGGCAAAACCTCCTTTTTGTCAATGATCTTGTTCTCGAAGTCTTTTATTGTCACTATGGCCTAAAGAGAACAAACACGAGTGCTTGCCATCCTATCAAGATCTCATCTTGTTTCTTATGACAGCGTTGAGGATGGGTACAAGCAAGTTCTGAGAACTGATGAACTGGAGGTATGGCAATAAGTCCAAGTTCTATGAGCATCACTCGATCTGAATCAAGTTCAAGTGATCGAGATGATCTGATCGAGTTGTGTGCTTTTCAGATGACTGAGTCAGAATAGGATGCTTATGTATGTTAAGGTATTTCTGACATTAGACCCTTGATGGTTAGGATGGGCAATTACCCGGTTTTTTCCATTCCGATCAACTTGGATTCCGAATTTCAACTGAAAGAGTCAAGAGAGTCTGAGGTCAAAGAACTTCAAGAAGAAACCTCATTCGCTTTTCTCAATAACAAGACCATTTAACTAACAACATGGCCACTTCTCGACTACTTCTCAATGCACCTCGTAAACTCTTATCTCAATCTTTAAATCGTTCTGTACGTGACCTATCAAAGATTCATTTAAATCTAAAATCACAAACTGACTTTCAATTCTATCATGGATTTCTTTAGATCATTCCATCTCATTTAGGACGTTCTTTGGCAACTTCCATTCCTACGTCTGCTTTTCCACAAACTCAGATCACTACACTTTCTAATGGGGTGAGTGTTTGGAGTACAGGCCATTCTGAATGGATCTCGTTTATTAATCGACGGTTTGGGTTTTTTTTATTATAGCTTACTGTGGCCACCGAACCACACCCTCATTCTCAAACTGCGACGGTTGGAATCTGGGTAAGTTATATGGAAAATCTCAATTCGATGTGCTTATCTTGTGTTGATTAGCTGGTTGGAATATCTGTAGATCGATAGTGGAAGCCGAGCAGACAAACATGGTGGCACTGCACATTTCCTCGAACATCTCGCTTTTAAAGGTAAACGATCCACTCTCTGTACCACTCCAACTGAATTGATCCTGAGTTTCTTGATATGTGACTCCCAACAGGCACACAAAAACGTACTCAACATGCCCTAGAACTCGAAATTGAAAACTTGGGCGCTCATCTCAATGCCTACACGTCGAGAGAACAAACATGTTACTTTGCTAGAAGTTTTAGTGATGATGTACCCAAAGTAGTGGAAATCATTTCTGATATTCTTCAAAACTCAAAATTAGATGAAGGTGCTATCGAACGAGAAAGAAGTGTGATCTTACGTGAACAGGAAGAAGTTGATAAGGCTCACGAGGAAGTTGTTTTCGATCATCTTCATGCGGTTGCATTCCAGGGAGAGGATTTGGGTAAGACCATCCTTGGTCCAAAGGAATCGATCCTCTCTATGCAACGCTCCCACCTAACAGATTACATCAAGTCCTACTATACTGCCGATCGAATGGTCTTGGTCGGTGCTGGTGGCATTCAACATGAAGCATTGGTCGAACTTGCAAGCAAGAACTTTGGATCTTTACCTACCTCTTCTTCGCCCATCCCACTTGGTGGTCGTGGTCAAATTCGACCAACCCAATTCACCGGTTCAGAAGTCCGAATTCGAGACGACACTATGGACACGATTAACCTTGCTATTGCTGTAGAGGGAGTTGGATGGAACTCACCTGACTTGTTCCCTATGCTTGTCATGCAGTCAATCTTTGGTAACTGGGATCGCTCGCTCGGTTCAAGTGCACTTACCAGTTCACGACTTTCCCATACGCTCTCGACCAACAACCTCGTGAACAGCTTTTTGTCCTTCTCAACTTCTTACTCTGATACCGGTCTTTGGGGTATCTACCTAGTTTCAGAAAACTTGACCAACCTAGACGATCTCGTTCATTTAACTTTACGTGAATGGCAAAGAATGGCAACCGCACCCACAGAGATGGAAGTCAGCCGTGCTAAAGCTCAATTGAAAGCTTCAATGTTATTCTCTTTAGATTCTTCTAATAATATTGCAGATGATATTGGTCGACAACTTGTGACTTCTGGAAAACGAATGACACCTCAAGAGATTCAAGCAGCTGTTGAAGCGGTTACACCTGAGACTATTCGTAGAGTGGCTCAGAAATACCTCTGGGACAAAGATGTAAGTTTTTCTTATTTGATGACCTATTAGATGATATCCTCTAGTACTGCTAGTATTGTTAGTAGTTTACTCATTACTGGTTATGTTTTTTTAGATTGCCATTGCAGCTTTAGGTCGGACTGAAGGATTATTAGACTACAGTCGTATCAGGGCTGATATGGCATCTCTCTTATGGTAGAAAAATGTGAAATATGTTTGAGATTTGATTTGTTTGGTTTTGCTTTGCGAATTCATAAAATGTTTTGATGGTTATACAATCCAAGGTTTAATGACCGTATTGGACTGATAGAATTCTCAGTGAAACTGAACCTATCATAGATAATAACCTTTTCTTTTCTGAAATGATTTATATTGAAAGTTTTTTTTGGTTAACAATGGCTTTTTGAAGGTGTAATCGCAGGTTTTTCGGCGTCAGACAAACGTGTAGTGTCTTGATGGACCCGCGACGATTTGTCTGCATGACCCACCTGCTTTGGTCGCAATAACGATATCATTACGCTGCTGAGAATCCACATCTGACAATAAGCCATAAACGTACCCCATCTTATCAAAAAGTGAAGGGAAGTGAATGAGTATATGGTCAAATAGGTATAATGCTCAGAGATTAATAGAGACTCGTCTCAGAAGGCAAGTACCTCCGTTGTCAGATTTGTTCTGAACTTACTGGGATGCTTTGTTCAAACACAATCATCTTTGATTGGTATTTATAACTGTGCATATGGTTCATCTTTGGAAAAGTTGTAATCAATCATCATTATCAAAGATCTTTTACCATACATAAGTAAGTCATCATCAAAACAAAACAAATCTAAATAAGAATAAATTCAGGAAAAACAATCGACATTAATTTCAAAGAACGATTGTAAGAAGAAAAAAACCATTAAGTAATGCAAATCTAAGAAAACGAAAGAAAAAAACAAAAGCACAATCGTAATCCTACAATTAGATTATTTCGTCTTGTTGAATTAAGAAACAAAAAAAAACGAGGAAAAGGTTTTTTTGAATTCGGAAAAGATACATAATATTTCATAAAGATGAAAGATTTATCAAACGAAAAAAAGAGATGAAACAATCACAAAGTAGATAGAGAAAAGAGTTACAGGAGTTGAAGTTGCGTAGAGGTTTCGTGAAGATGAGTAAGAAGATCATTTGAGAAAAAAAGGAGAAAGCATTTAAAAAGAGTGAAATCAGAATGTGCTTCTATGAAAAAAAAACTAAGAAAGAAAAAAGAAATTGAGAAAGAGATCAGATATATGTTTTGAATTTGATTAAGAAGTTTTGATTGACTTACGTTAAAAAAGGATCAAAAGTATCCCCAAAAGAAAAACAAAACAAAAGAGTATCCTTCTTTGTAAAATGTCAATGAGATTCTTAAGCACTAGAAGCATTACAAACAATCACCAAAGACCAAATAAATCCACCAAGAACTAAAGGTCCAGTCACACAAGCAGCCACTCGATTAGCATTAACCCAAGATAATCCATTATGATGAGAATGATGTTGTGAGATAGGTGTAGTACGACCATTAGATAAATTTTTAACTCGATTTGGAAATCTAAGATGTTGATTAAATTTAGATTGACCAATTTCACCGATCCTTGGACTAAGATACCAACCACCGATGACAAAGAACCATGGTCCGAACAAACAACCTAACCAAAACGTCACGGCTGCTGGATCTGCTCTTTCTAACATTTCCATAAACAACCATGCTTTTGTGGCAGATCGATTGGCTGAGGTGGCTGTGAGTAAACGTCGAAGACCGTTACCTGTCTTGCCTGTCCTTGATGCTTTTCGGATCGAATCGGCAAGAGATTGGAAAAAACCTTTGGGTTTGGGAGCAGCCATGTGTTCAGTATCTAATGGTCGCCATCCTTTGACGATTGGCTCTGGGTAAGCTCCAGTGAGAGGAGAGATTGGTTTGAGGACTGATGAGCGATGATCACCGAGCGTTGTACGACGTGTGTGGTTTGTCGATATAGATTCAGGCTGTACATTACCCTCCACTAAGACCAGGCTCGATTCAGAATCAGTTGACTTACTCAAAGGTTTTTGAGGTAGTTTGGCGTTGGTTGGACACTTCAAAGGATGTATTAAAGATGATCTATTCCTCTGTGATCGATGAGTACTTTCGATAGCTGGTATAGTAGGCAAACCACCAACATTACAACCATGGCGTAATCGATGTGGAGCTGGAGCTGAGAGTTGACGAGAATGTTGATTAGATCTTTCGCATGATCTTTGATAACGTGATTGTGAAGATAAGCGTTGATGAGTTTGCCAACTGATTCTTCTTGGATTACGCTTTTCTTCCACTTCAACTTCTGGTATTAATCCTGAGGACAAGATCGAATTGATAGGAACTGAAGTAGTACGAGTACGTCTATCAAGGTGATCATCAAGAGTTTGAGGAGAATTCCAGAAAGGGGAGAGATGTTGAAGTTGAGCTTGAAGAGGTGGACCGTTGTTGTTGTTTAAAAGGATCGACTTGAACTGTGCATTTGATCTGATATTGCTATCATCTTGAAGTGTAGGAATTGTGGGTAAGCGTGCAAAACCAGCTCGATGAGGTTCATGTTGCGTATCACGGCAGAAATGAGCCCAAGAGGAGCGATCATGTTCAAGTATACGTTGCTTAACATGATCCAGCGCCTGAGATTCCGCTGGGAGCGGAGCCGATGGTAAAAGACTAGGAGTTCCTTGTGTAGAGCAACTCTCTGAAGATGGGTGCGTTTGCCCAATAGACCCAAAGAATTCGCTCAATGCTCTCCACCCGGCTGTCACATTACGATTACGTGGACTGCGAGGCGGCTCGTAATTAAGTTTTTCAAGATCAAATTCGGTTGGTCTGTCTAGTCGAAGACCCCTTTGTGACTCTTGAGGTGAATAAATAGTAGGTGAATTAAAAGAATTTATAAGAGGAGGTGATACGATTTCGGCCAAAGAGGCTGGAGAATTCAAGTAGGTTGGCGAGAAAGCAGAAGTTAAGGATGGCATAACAGTTTGACCAGGTCGATGAGGTTCTGCAAGTACTCCTTTCGGATTGACTACGATTTGAAGTGGATCTGAACGACTTGAGCTTTGTCTTCGACTTTGTATAGTACTCTGGAGTCCATTAGGCTTAAACTGATCATCTCGTAATTCTTCTTGTTCCCATGATGTGTCGGGGGTATCATTTCCTTCCATATGCTCAATGTCCTCGTCCTCATCTCCGTGAGTCAGGGCAGGTGTTGATGGCGTGTTCATTGGCTCAGAATGATTACGTGGAGGTCGGTTGAGAAACCTTGGTGAGGATTTCAAATTGAGTGGGGGCGTAGGATTATAGGAATATCCATGACGGGGGTTGTAGCCGCGATTGGACAGACCAGAGCCATCAGTGGAAGCCCTACGTTGATGAGCACACGAGCAAGCAGATTGAGGGAGTAGCAGTCTTGGGAAATTTTTGGGGGGAGAATCGTCGTGAGTATTGAGACCAGCTGAATTGGAAGGCTGATCGAGATGTGACGCTGATTGGGTGGCCGAGTGTATAAACATAGAAATATTGCTATCACAATCGGTGGTCTCGACCATGGCAATTGACGTGAAGCCAGTCTTGCAGGCAGTACATAAGTCAATAGAAGACGCTACTGGATCTGAAGGTCTACCAGGAGTATCGTAACTTGTATCGGGTGAAGGGAGTTCAACAGTGAGGTCTAGATCGGCGTCACTACTTTCCAGACTTTGGCCTTCGTTGTCAGAGTTAGTATGAGGAGACCCATCCGCTGGCCTATTAGATGTGTTCACTCTCCTGTCGGTGACCTCATAGCTTAGTCGACCTTGTAGACTGTCTTTGATTTGGGCATCCCATAGACGGCTGCGGTAAGGAAGTCCTTCTGATCTTCTAGCTGCGTGTTGGTTAGGTGTGTAAGACGGATTACCGCCAGAGAAACTTGTGATATTGTTCTTTGTAAACGTAGGAGAGACGGGCGTATTATTGAAAGAAACTTGGCATGTAGGCATAGGTTTTTCTCCTTGTTCAGCGCGAAGAGCTGTGCGCTCACATGGCGATTGAGGTTGGTGACCCTCGAAGTGAGAGTGATGATAAGATGCCAAGGCTTTCCCAGATGGAGAGTAAGACATAGCATAAAGCACTGTGGGTTCTGAAGGTGAAGACATTATAGAGAAATGAAGATTCTGAACATCAAAATGCGCAATTTGTAAGCAAACATAATCAAAAGCTGAGAGTTTGATGAAGATTAAATATTTACTTGATTTTTTGGTTGAGCAAGCAATAAAATTCCACTAGATTACCAAGAGTCAGTGACCGATAAAATAATTGGGAGGATGGAGCTAATCGTAGACAAGATGTTTTGATAAGAGAACAACGATAAAAGAGTGTCGATGTCAAACACGCGGCGGGGTCTATGGAATGATTTTCAGGCGATAGCGGTTGGCGTGATACTTTCAAGCGTAGGATGAGTCGTAATTTAAAAAACGCGCGAGTCTTCAGGTTTGATGATTTGAGTCAATCCCAATTCGGTTATTTCGATTCGATCCTTGATCAGTGAAGGCTTATAGCAAAACTAAACACATTCCTCATGTCAGATTAGTAAAAGAAAGTCAACGAGAGATAATCCGGGGATAGACTGATTGACAAACTTTTTTTTGTTTTCCCAAAGAGAGGAAGAAAAAAAAGCCGATAAGAAACAAGCGCTCGAGAAGGCTTGAATGCGGTAAATGGTCTTATTAGTGGTGAAGAATGATTGTTTCTTGAAGGAATGTGGTTGACAGTGCGGTCAATGTTAGATCAGAAAGATGATGGTAAAGTTTTCCAATCGAAGTTTTCCTGAAGGAGTGACCTGAAGTTCAGCTGATGATTGAAATGAGTTGAATAGAATGGACAAAGAAAGCAGAAAGAAATACGCGAAGGAGAGTAGCTCATATATATACTGGATATCACAATTCGTCAAATCTAGAGTTTGATAGAAGGCGAATCATGAAAAAGTGTTGATATCTTCTGCCTTACAAAACGGGCTAGCCGGCATAAAGTGGGCTATCCCAAAAGGGTTTCTGTCAATTCAGAGCTTGTACGGCTAAAATTGACACAGGGCAAATAATTCTGATGGCGCAAAAAAGGTGAAAGGAGAGGGCAAGTGAGAGACTATGGGATGACTGTATAGTACAGATCAAATCCAAAGATGAAATGATCGATTGACCATCCCATACAACATAAACATGACCGTAGTAAAATATCAGAATTGACTAAACGAAGGACACTAACGCAGGGCTTGGTTGCAGAATACGGGATGAACCGCAAGTTGAGTTCCGCAAAGCGCATAGATTCGAACGTTGACTCGTTGAAAGAAGGCGAAACTGGAGTTGGACGTTAATGGAATTGTAATCTGTGACGGGTATCGAGCTGTAGTTTGATCGAAAAGGGACGTTTAGATTATATGGGTGGCTGTAGACCAAGAAAACACACCACACCCGATAAAAATTTAAGATCTCAATCGAGACTGACTATGTATGGATTGGCAAGTCAGATGTGGATATGAAAGAAAAACAAAAAATAATAAGGGTATAATGTGAGATGAGATGTGATTGATTGTATCAGATAACTTGCTCACTCAAAGGGTGTAAATCAAGAAACAAACGAAGATAGAAAGTAAGAAATTATCAAGAAGAAGAAGAAGAAGATCAAGGATGTGTTCAAAGAGTTTCAAGTCTTCAAGATATCAAATCTCTATCTTTCCTAGTCTAATTTGTAATCTTCGGGGAAATATCTTGTAGGTTGTTACATCGTTAGAAAGCACAGATTTATGTTGTTCATAGTCTCCTCCTCTCAATCTAGTTTCATCTTTCTTCCTTCAATCTCAATCAAATCAAAACCAATCTGAAGTCACAGAGACCATGAATGAAAGACAACCCTCACTCACTCTAAAATCCTTGAGTTTGATCAATTATATATCGCCATATATATTCCTTGGGTTGAACTTGGTGTCAATTCACTCGGGATTGGTAAAGTGATGTGGCCTCTCTTGAAAGCTTTCATCATCAACTTCCTGGAATTTTTGTTGCACCATTGAACCCCAGAAGAACTTGCACCTTCAGTGCCACCCTGAACACCAAATCAAAAAATTCAGTTGATATTGCTTCTTTTCATTGATGTACTGCACCAGCAAATCATGTCTTGAACCGTAGTTGAGATTGAAACGGTTTCTTTGAAGTTTAATTCTTTCTTATTTGTGGTGAGTTGAATGCCATTCTATCATTCGATCCTCGTTGTACCCGCTCTCCACTCTTCTCGCTTACATACAATCCGGATTCCGATCCATGACCGACCCACCTTCTTCTAAACTTAAATTCGTCTTTATGTATACCACGCCTTCTTGATCACTCTAAATACTGACTTTACAACAACATATTCCTAAGGTTCTTCTAGTCATAAATTGCCTGTTGTACAAGCTTCATGAGCCCGTGGATCCCGACCAATTGTAGAGAACAGGCTTCACAACTCAGCCTTTTGTTTGCTTGGAACAGGTTGGAACGCATGTATAGATTCTAGAATCTTGAATCATGGTGGTTGCCACGATATCCGACGTTGACCAGTTACCGACTTGTGAAGTTCTCGCTTCAAATGCAACAACTGGTTTTCTATTTGTTGTTCAATTTCACACTTTGTGCTACTCACGCTTGAGTGTCCTGACGAGATTGGGAACTCGAACGAGATCTAGGGTGATCATACTACTCGTAGACCCTCATGAGCGTGAATATCTACTAAATCCTCAAGAGCGGCATTTTCCGGGCACAAGAAATTTGTCAGATGATAAAGGTCAAGACTTGTGCGCTCTTGGAGTTATTTTTGAGGATTGCTCTTCTGGGTCTACCTTCGAGGCGCTTCCATCATGATCATGAATGGTTAATCTGAGAGTTTCCTTATTTTGGGAAATACATCACCCTTGATAAGAAGGTTTGTAAAGAGCTCCAAAGTCTCTTTCAAAGGTTTTTTTTTCTCAAATTGACATAGGGTACTCCGAAGTAGGTAGGAAATTTTGTGAATATACCTGCAATGTACTGCCAAGCTATCATTTGTGAAAGTGGATGGGCCCAAAAAACTTTGCATTCACAGTTTCGATGTTGCCTCAAGAGAAGCCGAATATGTAGGGCTAGAAGATAATAATGAGGGTAAGTATAGAGTATGTATCAGGAACTCAAAGATGATGATACGTAAACAGGCTTTATGATAGATATGCACAATGAAAACAAACTGCCTTGCAATTGTCAAAGTGTTGTTTCTGCCCTATCACAAGTCACAATATGTTTGTCACAGCAATCTGAGCCCAACATCTGAGTCATGTGTACCTTTTCCGCTGCGCTGGCACTTACGTAAACGAAGCGTAGAGAAGCGCTGATTGTCCATCATTGCAAGTTATATAATGGTGCACTTTATTTGCAAAAGAACTATAACATTGGGAACACTTTGAGAGTTTCAATGTATAGCTCCCTGCATTCATGTTATCCAGTAGTGAATATACAAACCAATACCAAGGCCCTTTTGGCTATCCTTTTTCAGACTCTTACTCATTTGTGTTTCAATGGGGGCAAAAATACGTTAACTTAACACACTTCTCAATAGTCAATTTATGCATTTAATTTTGACTATACATTTTTGCCTACAATGATTACGCATGAAGATTGACTAAATCAGGCGGATATTATCTTTTCAAAAAACTTGCATTTGAAAATACTAGTGGTTTCTTATTGTTATAATTGATGACAAAACACATCATATTGCTACGATAACATCTCCTTTTAAAGTCATGGTCTTTAAGCACACAAAAAGTTTGAGAGGAATATTTACTCTAACTAATGTTGTGGTCCTTCTTTCAAGCTCGATCGACCTATTGAAAAGTTTTATACGAAGCGTCATAAAATAAAATAAAACTGTCAACATCGTTCACTCGCCACAGACGATAGGTCCGGATAACAGAATTGATTGAATGAAAACATACCAGCTCTCATAATCTCATCTGTAACAAGCAAGTTCATCGCAATCACGCAACAACTATGAAGAAGTTGTCGTTTAACACGGTAATTGTCCCATATTCCTTCAGTCACTGGATTCAAGGGTTCGCCAGTTGAAAGGTCTACCCCTACGGCAGCTGTAGGACTTCCATCAACAAGCTCGTCCATCAAGTTTGAGAGCACTTCTTGAACATCCAACCCAGCATTTGATGCTAAGGTCTTGGGTACTACCAACAGTGCATCTGCAAAGGTTTGAATACCGAGTTTGAAGCGACCTTTTGCTTCACTCTTGACCTTGTCAGACAAATACCGGGAGCAGGCTACTTCGAATGCTCCAGCACCAGGTACGACTGCTTGATCCTCTAAGGCATTCTTGACGGAACGGAATCCATCCCTCAAACCATCATGAATCTGACTTATTGAGTGAGGATTTGGCCCTGTATAGGATCGGGATGTAATGAGTTAGCTAGGCGTAATTATAAAAGACCGGCGATCCCACAAAGCCGCATGTAGGTCACAAGTAGTGAAAGGTTACAAATGAGAGAGATGGCGAACCCTTGATGAGAAGTGTGACCGACTTGGGGTCTCGGACCTCTTCCACAAATGTGAACTTTTCCTCTCCTAGTGTGTGTTCATACACTAAGCCAGCATATCCCAATACGTCCTGTGTGAGGGCTTCAACCGAGTTCTGTGCAACACCACCGCAAACCAATTGTAATCTGCAGATATTTCAAGATTGAATGTGACGAAGAGCTACATGTTAACCATTATAATTGAGACAAGATGATCAATACAGAGTTACAAACCTTTCCATGTTCCGTCGTTTTGCGCGTCTGAGGGCAAGGATACCGCTTTTGGCCAGCATATCGAGACTGAGAGGGTCGATACCTTTCTGGTTAATGACTACAAAACCTTTCGGCTTCTCTGCGGTGGCGGAACGGCCTGCTGCAATTGCCTCTAAATCCAGTTCCGCGTCGCATACTCGTCGTTTGAGTTCAATAATTTTCTTTACACGCGCATCAATAAATTTCCGTTCAGATTCTACCAACTTCTCACGCTGTTCGGCTGAAGAGTAAAAGAATCCCGAGTTCACTTCACTATTGGTTGCAGTAGTTGAGGAAACATGGATCAGCATCGAGACGGTCGCGAAATGGCATGGGAATGCAGAATATGAATTAGTCGATGCAATAGGATGAATACCACTTACGTCTTTTCGTATTCGAGACTGACATTCAAAGTCAAGACAAAGGCATTCTCGACTCTTTTGGGCATGTCAGGATGACGTGCACCGTGATCAAGGACTAAACCGCGAATCAAACGTGTATCGGTATCTGTACGATGTTGCATTTTCATGATTTCAATCATGTGCAGGTCGACAGGTAAGTCAGGCTGCTTGATAGCAAGAACAGCATCGACTACATCAGTTGCAAGCTTCTTTGCAAGCTGATGGTGTAGCTTTGTTGAAAGTGATGTATGTGCGACTGCAACCAATGTTTGATGATCGATGTCAGGCTTTTTGTGTTTGAACTCATCAAGAAACTAACGTAATCAAATAAAGCACAATTATTGATATTAGTGACTTGTTGAAGTTTCGGAACGATCATGATGAATGGCTGAGTGAAGTATCAGGCTAACTTTGACACTTTCTGTTTTGGCAATCTCCAAGCCTTCGGAAATGACACGCGGATGAACACCCTCGCTGATATAACGCTCGGCTTGCTTGAGTGTCTCTCCAACGAGTAAGATACAGGAAGTCGTACCGTCACCGGTCTGTTCGTCTTGTGCTGTTGCTGTCCGTGCGATCATTGCGGCCGTTGGGTTCTGAATTTGCATCTCTGATAGCAAAACTTTTCCATCCTGTATCATACCTGTCAGGAAAATAAGATTTTAAGCTTGATAACAGTTGGTTTTGCTGACCTTTGTCATTTTGATATTTCCAGCCCCGTCGACCAACATTTTGATTGTTCCCTTGGGACCTATTGACCATGCAGTAAAAAAGAGTACATATGTGATTTAAATACGAGTAATCAGATTTCATTTTCATGAGATTTTTCAAGGATCAAAGGATCTAACCAAGATTAGACCTAACAACATTAGCAAGACCCATGGCACCTGAAAGCAGAAAAGGTCAGTTCAAGCCATGAAAATGATCACGCATATAAAGTTGAAAACGAACCAGTGGTATTGACTTGCAGGGCTTGAGCCCTGCGAATAGATTCGGCCTTGGGATTGATAAGTTCGACTGCAGACCTGTGGTAGGCAAAAGATCCATGGTAAGAACTGAGAAGGTGTTTTATGATGATGGTAATGAGAACTAACATTTTGATGGATACGATGAGTTGGTTAAAGAAAACTTAAACTGATGAATTCTAAACCGATGAATTCATGTGGTCGATCGATTACATGTGGCGTATGTATATGTAGCAAACTGTAGTTTTCACAAGAGAACTGCATTCTAGTCCTGTGCTCAGCCATCAATGGGTTAGGTTTTGGCTAACCGCTCAACACCTTTTGATTGGACCTTCGCTCTAGAGGTCTTTCTTTCTGTCCCACGTCATCTTCTGGTTATGCCCGTAATCAAATCATTGGGATTGGTTCGATGGTAGTCATGTCGAACGAGTCCATATATACTTCTTGAGCTTTATCCATGAAATTTCGTATAGAATCTTCGTTTATGATTTGTTTGGAACATCTCATTTCTGTCTACGTTCATAATAATAGTTCCTTCAGCAATTCAAGTAGCCTCAATCGCCCCTATCCATATGCACTGTGATATCTTTATGGTAAACTTGGTCACTATTCGCCTTGCGTTGAATCAAAATGTGCAGCGCATTTTCTCCTGCAGCGGACTCGGAACTTCATGTATGCGTGGACATGCTCCTTGCAGACACATGATGTAAAACATTGAACGTAGGAGGATTAAATTACTCAGAAAAGGGATAAAAAGCTTACACTTATCAATGATTCAGTAAATTTTCCGGTATCATGTCGATGACTAGTGTCTGAAAATAGAATGTGATTCGATGATGCATAAGTCTTTGCGGATCATGATGGTCTTCACAAGCAAAAAAACCATATGTTCTAAAATGAAACCCATCAATTTCTTGAATGTTTTATCTATAACCTGGGCTTCATCATCATGGGGGAAACTGTCCACGAGTTTATATGGTGCATATCATGTCTCAAACGGGGGGCAGTATTAAAGGTTCTGATAGTTTTGACAACAAAGTCAGGTGATTAGGGGATGCAAAATGACCATTTCTTTCGTCGGCATGTTCTTTATGTTTTCGAACTATGTAGGTATTACAAACATATTAGGTAGTACAGTCAACGATCTTACAAATGCAATTATGGTAGCTAGAATTTGGATTAAGCTATTTCGAGCAAGGGAAAAGACACAGAACAACAAACGGGATTATTAAGAGACATACACTTCTAAGGATGTGAAGAAAATACTGAAAGATATCAAGAAGCGTGACTTGTTTCTCCTGATCTTCTTTCACAAAGCGGAGCTGACTGCACCTTTCACCTTTTGAGTGATCTCGGCCAATTTTGCACAAGGGTCATCCGATTTAGATCCACTTGATGTGGTGGGTTTCTTATCTCCTGACTGAGGAGCTCGACGACTCAAACTGTGAGAGAAATGTGGTCAGTTCATGCCCCGTTTTGAAGCTATCAGGAATGTCTCGTTTGAAGACTGATGTCACTTACGGGTAGCTGTATGTTCCCGGTAATCCACGACGACTTGAAGCAGATTTAGTTCCAGCGGAAGAAGCTTTCGCTGTTTCCATCTTCTTCAAAATTGCTGCACATGCAGTCGAATCAGTTGGAAGCTTGGCGGGCAAAGCTGTTGTAGCATCCTGCTTATCTTGACGGCTGATTGTAGGTTTAGAGAAGCGAAAAAAGTTAATGACAATGGTCTTTCATAAAATATGATGAAGAATTGAAAGTATGCTTACGTAGTCAAAGTATTGTGTACCCTTGGAAAAGTTAAAGGATGGTGTGAGTGAGCATATTATTTATCGAAATGCGCAGACTGATTAGAGGCTTGTTTGATCTTACTTGTGGACAGTCTCAAGCGCATCTCGATGACCAGGAGGAGGTGCAGGATGTAATGAGGCAGGCATGACAACGGCAGGCTTTGGGTTTGGTGGTGCTACAGACAAAGGCTTTGGTTGATTGGTTGGTGGAGGCTTTGTTTGACTGGTTGGCGGTGGAGCAGATGAAGGCTTTGCTGGAGCTGGACTGGTTGTCGTTACAGTTGTTGTTAGCGGAGGGTTTGCAGAAGTTGTTGACGATGTTGCTGGTGGAGGATTTGTTTGACTGTTTGATGTTACGGTTGTAGTTGACGAAGGTTTTGTTGGATTATTGTTTGTTGGTCTGGTGATGGTGACGTCCCGGCGGAGAAGACTAATAAGTGAGAAGAAGGTTCCTTGTTAGACCACGAGTTGTAGGCATGGACAAGTTTTCACGTGATGTATGAAAGCTTACCCGTGATCATTGTTGACAGCATCGCTGATTGTGGTGGCAGGGAATAAAGAGGTCAAGACTTGGTGTTTGAAATCAAGTAGCGGGGGAACAAAAGTGGGCTTACGGATCTATGGTATTATGGATCCTAAAAGCACATAGAATCAAGCGTTCATAAGTCAGCAGTTATGAGTATTGAGAAATGCAAGGGAGATCTTACCTGTGCACGTTTTGAAGCGCATCCCGAAGACCTACGGGTGGAGACAACACTGGGGGAACATTGCTTTTTGGGATGGTTGCTGTCACATTGGTCTGGGTAACAATGGTCGTACGGCGCACCAAGCTGGGGTAGGTACCAAAAGGTGATATAGGGTAAATCAAGGTGTTTGGAATGGAATGTTGGGGAGTTGAGAGTAGACTGGACTCACGCAAAGTTGTTGTGCGTAGGCGCGTTATTCTTAGCCGCTTGACTTGTGACCAATCCGATGGCCAAGGTGGCAAAGCTGACAGTAATTGCAAAACGCATATTGTTTGAAGCTTGATGGGTAATAAAAGCGATAGGTGATACTTTAAAAGAATTAAAGCTAATGAAAGTTATTGGAAAGGAGTTTAAAACCTAGATTCAAAGAGATTAATGATTTTGGAGATTATGAACACGAGAAAGTAGAGAAGAGAGGTGTTTCTATGTATTAGGGAAGCTTATGATACAATTATCGTACAATTATGATGGATGTATTAAGGATGTATTAGGGAAGAATTAAAAGATGTGATGAGGAAACAAAAAGTGGAGAGAGAGCCATGGGCTTTATAGCTTCTTGACCTCGCTGTACTTCCGAAAGAATGAGTCATTCAAGCCTGGCCAGGGATCAGAAGAACTCTTCATGATACGACGGCGCCCGAGGCAAGTGCTTCATCGCTTCAATTGCACCCTGACACCATTTCTTGAACTTCCTATAACAATGAGCTGCAGGATCTATCTTTCATCAGCCTACGAGTATGTATCCTCACCCTGATTCCCAATCAACAGGACTACACAGGTTTCCATCGAAGCCTGACCACTTGGTATCTATGCTGGCTTGAGTATGCTTTGCTGGAAAAAACCTTTTGGGTTGGTTCATTGACTTCTCAGGTCAGACTTTTGAGCTGTGACCTATCTAGCATCCTGAGTGGTGGTCTCAAAAAAACACTCAATCAAATCATAGTTTTGAGTTTATTGCAGATGTTGATAACGTTGATTTAGAAAACTAGACTCTATGCACTTTGAGGCAAATTTTCTAAAATATTCACCAAGCAAACGGAGACAAAGCCATCTTGAGTCGCATTGATAACACCTGTCCCAACAAATGGACTTTGTATGAGTAAAAAATACCAAAATTAGTATGGTTGAAATGTGGCACTCACGTAAATGACTTGATAGATGATGATTGGGTTCAAAAGAAAAAGCAATGGTCTATGTACAATGAAATTGATTGATTCTTGTCACTCTGCTCTTACAGGTCCATCCTGCAAGGGCTTTCAAGTGTAAACGTCAATTTGAAGATTACAAGTAATGTTTCATTAGAAGCAAAATGAGATACCGATGATGGTGGTGAACCGACCTTATAAGGATGTGATCTCTTACAACAAACCGGCATGGTTCACTAAGTGACATAGAATGAGACTTGTTTTGAATTTGATAATTCTGGGAATCACACTGAACAAACATTTTTTCAAATTATGTAGACATTATAGACATATTAGACAATAGAGTTGAGTAGTTTACAATGAAGATAGATTCTGGCTCTCATGAAGAGAGAGATTAAGGTTAGAAACTCGAAAACATGGACCAACTCAAAAGGTACAGACGGATTATTACAACACATAAAGCATGGAGGTTTAGAGAAAATACTTGAAAGATAAACAAGTGTGTCTTGCTTGTCTTTATCCTTTTTCAAGAAGATGAAACCGCACCCTTGATCTTGATGGCCGTTAACTTTTGACAAGGATCATCCGAATTAGATACACCAGATGTGGTGAGCTTTTTGTCTGTTGACTGAGGAGCTCGACGACTTAAGCTGTGGGAGAAATGTAATCAGCCCATGTCCCGATTTTTAACTGTCATGCATCATTTGGAAAATTTGCTAATACTTACGGGTACTTGTAAGTCCTTGAAAGTCCACGACGATTTGGAGCAGGTTTAGTCGCTTGTGTAGACGATTTGGATGCTTCCATCTCCTTCAAAAGTGTTGCGCATGCGGCGGCCTCAGATGGAGTGGTAGGCAGAGATGTTGTGACATCTTGCTCGGATTGACGGCTAGTTTTGATCGTAAAGAAACACAAAAGTTAGTGTTAGGCGTTTTTAAAATCAAATAGTGAGGATTTGAAAGTGAACTTACGAAGCCAAGTTGTTGTGTACTCTGAAAAGAAGAAAAAGGGTTTCCAGTGAGCTTGGTATCAAGATGTGAGCAGTGTGTTCAAGAGAAATTTATGTGAGTTCTTACTTGTGAGCTTTCTCAAGCGCATCGCGACCACCAACCGGAACTGGGGGCGGAACCACAGGGACTGCGGGGACAGGTTTTGTTGGAGTGGTTGGCGTTGTACCGGTCTCGGTGCCATTTGCGCGACGGAAAAGACTGGTAACCAAAAAGTACGCTGCTCATTAGAACGCGAGATTATGTGATATGGATGAAGAAATGAATAGATATGTCGAGTCTTACCCTTTGCTATTCTTAATTGCATTTCTGATAGCGGTGGTAGAGGGTCACAAAATTGAATGTTAAGTGTTTGAAAAAATGCGTTGAGGGAATAAAAGTGAGCTTACGGATCTTTTTTATTTTGAATACTTGAGGCACATAAAACATGTTTGTAAATGAGCAAATCGTATTGTGAAATGTGTGTGAATTATCCAGCAGGAACTTTTTGAGAGCTTACCTATTCTGCTCCTCAATCGCATCACGAAGACCAACAGGTGGGGTCAGCAATGTGTCCACAGAAGGGATTTTAGGTGGAGTGAGAGCTGGAATGCTCGATGTTCCATTTGTCTTGGCCGAGCTGTAATACCAAATAATGATGTGGTTAGGCGTGTAACTTGTCTACAAAGATTTTGGGAAAGGTTTTTAGATGGTTGACGCTTACCTGTTGGGTTTGGGCGAAGAGGCTGGAGGCGGAGCTTTTGTTGGCGTAGTTGGCGTTGTACTGGTCTTGGTGCCGTTTGCGCGACGGAAAAGACTAGTAATCAAAAATGGCTTGCTCATTAGACCGCGAAATTTCATTATGTGTATGAAGGGATGTTTAGATGTGTGAGTCTTACCCTTTACTATTCTTAATTGCATTTCTGGTAGTGTTGATAGCGGGACAGCAAGTTAAATGGTAAGTGTTTGAAACAAAACAGCGAGGAAATAGAAGTGAGCTTACGGGTCTTTTTGATTTTGATTGCTGAAGGCACATAAAACATGTTTGTAAGTGACCAGATAGTTGGAATTCCTGCAGAGTATCCAGCAGGATTTTTTTGCAAGATCTTACCTATTGTGCTCCTCAATCGCATCACGAAGACCAACGGGTGGCGTCAGCATTGTGTCCACAGAAGGGATTTTAGGTGGAGTGAGAGTCGGAATGCTCGATGTTCCATTCGTTTTGGGCGAGCTGTAGTATCAAATGATGACCCATGGTTAGTCGTTCGAATGGTCTGACAGAGATTCTTGTTGAGTCATTGACGCTTACCCTTGGGGTATAGGCAAACTTGAAGAATTTGAACCTGCCACCTGCAGCGCCTGCTTACCCATGGCGTGCAATCGGTCACAAGAATCAGCTGGAGCATTCCCCCCTGACTGAGGAGCTCGACGGATCAACCTATGAGAAAAAAACTGGCTTAGCTCAAGGTCCTCGTTATTCATCGTCTATCGTTGAGTTTGAGAGCACTTACGGATATCTATTGAACTCAGCAAGAGCACGACGACCCATTCGTGGGGAAGCTCCACCTCCGGATCTGGAGGCCTCGATCATCTTGATGATCGAAGCACATACATTGGGATCGCCTTGAATCTTCATTTCAGAAGTCGAAACTTTCGGCGCACCACCAGTGCCACCAGGCTTGGTCTGACTGCTGACCAATCCGACGGCCAAGGTAGCAAAGCTGACAGTGATTGCAAAGCGCATGACTAAAGACGGATAGCTGATAAAGGATTTGAATGTAGATGATACTCAAATAATGGAAACTGATGCAGATTATGAGAAAGGGGGTTAAGAAATAACAGGTATTGACAACTTGAACCAATAGAAATCGAGCAGAATTGATTGGCAAACAGAAATGGAGCTATGTATTGGTAGAGAAAGATACGAAAAATGAAGATATAGAACAACGACTTATAAGGATAAATTGGGGGATGAGATGAAGGACTGTTTGTTGGATCAAGAGCCATGCTCCTTATAGGTTTTTGAATTCTCGGGACTTGAGACACGCTCATTGATTCATTGAATGACTGACAAGGTTTTGGAAGACCCAATGCAACGACGCCCGAGGCCAATGATCCATCATGACGGATGCCTTGTACCATCAAGGCGAAGTAGTTCTTTCTTTCAAATGATTGGTCCTAATCCGCATCTTTGGTAGTGTTAAGCTCATGCCGAGATCATCTGATTCATTCAACGCAGGATAAAGTATTCACTCTGCTGTTCTATGAAGCAAATATTCTCCTTATGCAAGGGAATCTGAATGAAGGCTCTACTTCTGGATGAATTCAACGTATCCAGGAATGACATCGTATCTACCCAGTCGATGGCAGAACAAACTCATGTTCTTCAAGTCGGATGCAGTCCTGACCCGGGAGTTTGGAATAAAAGGACTTTATTGCTAATGAACCAACGAACCAGAGCCTCTGATCGATTAATTTATTCCAATCAAGAACTGACATCCTGACTCTGAGATGATGATAAGAAAGAAATCGATAATTAGGGTACTCAAAGTTGTGTATACTTTGTGTATACTTTGTTGTGTATACTTTTTTTTGGCGGGCAAAAAAATTAAAATATACAGTCAAACCTGTGCAAATGCATACCTGCGCAGATGCATAACCTGTGACAATGCATAGAAAAATTCCTAGATCTTGATACTTTTTACCGCCAAACTAGACAATGGAATTGCATAACCCGTGAAAATGCATAGGAAAAGTCTTCCACCCAAATTATGCAATTGCACAGGTTTGATACATACTTTTCGCTACATACTTTTTTTGGCGGGGACAAAGAAAAAAAATATACTTTTGGCCTCGCCTTCCCCGCCAAAAAAAGTATATAGCAAAAAGTATGTACACGTACATACTTACTTTGAGTACCCTTACTTGTATACGGTACTCAAAGCAAGTATGTACGCGTACATACTTTTTGCTACATAGTTTTTTTTGGCGGGGAAAACGAGTCCAAAAGTATATTCGTTTTATTTTCCCCGCCAAAAAAAAGTATATACGACAACTATATACGTGTAACTATGTATGGCTTCTTTTTCCCTGCCAAAAAAAACTATACACAGAAAACTATACAAGAACTATACACAACTTTGAGTACCGTAAATATTCAGAGACTATATAATCGGGTTGTATTATCCGCCTGGACAGTCAATCAAAGACCCGATGATTCGGTTCTATCAAAGAACTCAACTGACTCTCGCTGAGTCTGAGTCTAGTTGCTCAGCAAGAGTCGTCTTAGTATCCATCAACTTCACAACTTCACAATCATCAAGCCACCAAACCATTCAAACCTCAATCAAAACCAATCAAAACCATTACTAAAATGTCATCTTCATCAGCCACACTCGGACACGGTAGACCTTCACATGGAAAAGCTCAATCATCACATCCACGTCAATCATCAGCTGCAGTTTACAATATGTTTGATGCAAAACAAGTTCAAACTTTCAAAGAAGCTTTCTCTGTAAATCAACTTCTCTTACGACTGATTCTTACTGGAAAATTTTAAACTAATGAATGATAAGTTGGATGAATTTGTTTTGTTTTTGATAGATGATGGATCAAGATAGTGATGGTTGGATCACTGAAGCTGATCTAAAAACAATGTTAGCAAGTCTAGGTAAGCTAAACCCACCAAACCTACCAAACCACCAAAACTAACAAAACCCATTCAAATTCACGCCCCCAAACAAAAAGGTCAAGCTCCAACCCCGAAACTCTTAACATCCTTATTATCATCAAGACCTAATTCGATTCAACCAGCAGAAATAGATACACCAGATTATCATCAAGGTCTGAATTTTACGACTTTTTTAACTTTAATGTCTGAGAAATTATTAGAATTAGATTCAGAAGATGAATTATTAGAAGCATTTGAAAGTTTTGATGAATCTGATAAAGGAATTGTAGATGGCAAAGAGATTAGAGAATGGCTTGGTAGTCTTGGTGATCGTATGTCATCTGCTGAGGTTCGTTTTCTTTTTAACTTGATTTTTTTTTCTTAGCTTTTTTTTTTGATAGACAGTTTTTTGAGGTTTTCGTAGATTGATAAGTTACTTAGTCCACCTTTTGCGGATAGACATGGGAATTTTAATTAGTTTGTAACCTTTCTTTTCATCTCTTGAAGAAAAATATCAGATCTGACCAATATTCTTGATTTTTTCATACACAGTCGCGATTTTGTATCAGCTTTACGCGTTAGTGAGGCAGAAGAAGCAGTGCCTATGAATGGTTAACGCGCTTTTCTTCAATCTACTTCCCAGTTCCATCATAATACACTTCTGCTTAATCGTTTACTTAAAATTATGGAGGTTACTACTTTTTTTTTTGGGTGTCATTACTTTTTTTTCAAAAAACTTATGTACTTTACTCCTAATGTACAAACTGCAATAAATTTGGATTGAATTTTTCTTGAAACATAATAGAAAAAACAAGATCAAGGGTAACAAAAGCTTGATGATGATGATGATCACAAGACTTTGATTTGAATGAGTTCCATCCACTTGATTTTTCCTGATTGATAATGTAATAAAGAGGCGAGAGTAGTCGAGAAATCGTGGGGAGGGGAAATCGAGAGTTGAATTAGTCGGCAATTAATTCACTAACACTCCAATCTTCATAACTTCCATCTGGTAAATACCTTCGAACGATTAATGGAATCTTCCGTTGACTGAGTTCTTTCATAGCGATTTCTAATGGATCTGATTCACCATCTAAAGGTACTAAGACAGGTGCATTCATACTACCAAGAAATTATCCCCCAAAAAAAGTCAATTGGTTGTCATCATGGAATTAAAAAATAGATTTGGACGTGTACCTGATTTGTAATGCTCGTGTACCTAAAATCCTGGCTCTTTCATATTTTGTCATATAAGGTGTTGTTGTTCTTACAGTATTAGGTTGACCAGCTAAAGTAGAATCACCTCTATTAAAAACAAAACCAAAAAAAAAAACGAAAGAAGATTCAAAAAAAGAAATGATCAAGTTTTTTTTTTTCAAATTTTCAGTAAACCCTTACGGTTGACCACTATGAACTACACCATTGACGTTATTTTGTTTTGGTCTAGAATTCGAAGTTTCACCATTAATTTCATTTCCATCTTCTTCCATTGGTTGTACTTCATCTGGATCATAACCGTCATCTGAACCAGCATAATCTTGTTGATTATCGAATTCACTAAGAAAATGATGAAAAAATTAGATCTGATTGATTTATTGATTGATTTTGTGTTTTGTTGAGATGAGGTCGATGAGGTTTGGTGGTGTGTGACTGACCCTAAGTTTCCATAATCATCACCTGCATCTGAATCCATGTTTGATTGAAGAATTGATTGGATTGTTCGAAAGATATGAGGATGATGGTTTGGTGATAAGTTTAATGTTGAGGATCTTGTTATTAAATTACAAGTCACGTTTCTGTCTGGAAGTACAAATTGGTTAAGTATGTGTCTAAAACACCTCAGATTAAACTCAGCGCTGGCTGAAACACGTGATGAAGAGTTTAAATTTAGAACTTAAGTATCTTCTTAGGATCCGATTTCACCCAATTTCAAATCAGACCCAGTACCACTCAACCATCCAACAGCATCCAACCATCAGCATCAGCAACAACGATCGAATTCAAAACCAAATCACCACATCACCTCACATACTCAATCAAATGTCATTCCTAACCCAATTCAAGCTCACCAACTTATCACCAACCACCAAAAAAGCAGTCTCAGATCTAACCCTTCTAGCCATCTCACAAATCTTTTTATTTTATGGTGTACGTTATATAATCTCAAGAAATGATCCAACTAAACTAAACAAAGATCAAATCTTAAAGAAATCAAAAAAAGTCATTCAAAAATTAGGACTTGATAAAACTTTATTGGATTTGGATGAACATGAAGTTATGTTGATTGGTGAAGTGATTCAACCTGATGAAATCGAAGTAGGTTTTGATGGTACGCTTTTTTTGCGAAAAAAATCTTTCAACATTTCCAAAAAAAACTCTTTTTCTGGTTTTAACAATTAATTGATGATTTTTCGTTGGTTGATTTTGTAACAGATATTGGTGGATTAGATCCAATTATTTCAGATTTAAAAGAATCCGTCATCTTTCCACTTTGTTATCCAAGCACATTTAAATCTTCTGCAGGTTTGTTTAGTTCTCCAAAAGGAGTTTTACTTTATGGTCCACCTGGTTGTGGTAAGACGATGTTAGCCAAAACGTTGGCCAAAGAGAGTGGTGCGATGTTTATCAATATTAAACCAAGTGATTTGAATTCAAAAGTGTGTTTAATTTTGATTTTTTTGAATTTGAAATCTTTTGATCATCGATACTAAATCTCGGTTTTGGATTCGGTTTCGGTTTAGTGGTTTGGTGAATCTTCAAAACTTGTGGCTGCTTTGTTTTCGCTAAGTAGGAAACTTCAACCTAGTATTATCTTTATTGATGAAATTGATTCTTTCATGAGAGAAAGATCAAAAACTGATCATGAAGTTTCTGGCATGATGTATGTATCACAAACTTATTCGCCACTTTTAGTTCATCAAAGGCTGATTTACATCTTTCTTTTCATCGATCACTTTAATAGGAAGGCAGAGTTTATGACGTGAGTTTAGTTTTTAGTAGTGACTCGAATGACACTATCTCTTGCCAATGAGTTAACATTGTTTTTTTAGGTTATGGGATGGTTTAGCAACTGGAAGTGATACAAGAATCATGGTGCTTGGAGCTACCAACCGACCTAATGATATAGATTCAGCCATCTTACGTCGAATGCCCAAAAGAATTCCAATCGGATTACCAAGTCTTGAACAACGTATTAAAATCTTACAATTAGTTAGTACCCTATCCCTTCCCCCCCAAACCAAACCAAACGTCTTCATTTCACTATCAATTCTTACATTCATAAAGCTTACTAAAAACAAAATCCGGGTTTTTTTCTTTTTTCTTCTTTAGCTTTTGAAAGATATTAAACTTTCATCTGATTTAAGTCTTGAATTCTTAGCAGAACAAACTTCCAATTATTCAGGTTCAGATTTAAAAGAGTTTTGTAGAGTGGCTGTTATGAACCCAATCAAAGAATATATGAGATTAAGAGGTGGTGATAAATCAGCTATGATTGAAGCTAGTCAAACAGTTCAGTTTCTCTCTCTCTCTCTCTTACTATAAACTAATTATATTTTTAAACCCTGCTGGTCTTGGTATTAATGCGAGGTTTTTTTTCTCTAGGAAATCGAAATGAGACCGATCGGTTTAGATGATTTTCCTTTTGATAGATCATTAAGTACTAAAACAATTGCTTCTGAACCATTAGATTAAACTTTCAGGTTGACTTTTTTTTCTTGTAATTTCATGGAGGTTTTTTAAATAAATAAATGATATCTCAAAAAGTCTATGGTTTCTTTTGAGATGATGTTTTAAGATTTTTTTTCAAAAATACTATATGCATATCACATGTCAAATACTTTTGAAATCGTTCTTTTAAATACCTTTTTTTCTTATTCTAGACTCTCTTTCATAGTAGGGGGGCAGGGGCGGTAATTGATGTGTTTTTTTCTTTTTGGAAAAAAAAAATTGATTACTTTTAATGTATCTTTCTGTTTCATTCTGGGCTTTCTTGTTGATTTCATTACTTTTTCTTTGTGATTTGGGTTTCTTTTTTGTTTCGAATGTGATCAAATACCATGCATGCATATAGATTTTCTTTAGAGTTACATGATTCAGAACTGGGAGCGGATAAAAGATGATCTCAGATCTTTTGCTGTGTCGAATTTTCTTCATCTTTGAGTATATATTTGGCCAATGCAGCCTGCAGGAGGATGAACGTCAAGAGCTCAAGAATATGGTGATTGTTATTTTGTACATATGTAGATAGGGGAAAGTGAAAGTGATCCAAGAAGCCTCATCCTGCTTAGAAGATAAAGTGACCTTGAACTGATATTCATGATCATGGAGATGTAATTGACTTTGTACTTTAGATTCTTGGTAGTCAAGAAGATGTATTGAAGTGAAAGATTGGGTGTAAAAGTATCATCAGGATTCAGTAGAAGTTGGAAAAATAAGAAAATGATTAAGTATCCTGTTTGGTTTATCATACTCGTAATTAAAGTATTTGTGAACAAGGAAAATTGGATTAATGTGTGAGAAGCTGGATTCAGAGATGGAGAAAACACTTACACATACATCTTGAGATGTTTTCTTTTTCTTGAGATCTCTACCTTGATAAGACAAATCTCCCTTGATGTTGACTCAGCAGTGTGTTAGAGCCAGAACATGATGTTTACCTTGATAGTCTGAGAGGAATCCTATTTAAATTGGTATTGAATTGAAGAAAGGTCACAAAACACTTCAGTTTCACATAAGCCTTACCAGCTTGTACTTAAAATGGACTATTTTATTTGAAAGACTATCTCAAAGCATCTGATGATCTGATGTGATATGTTTGAATCTTGATTTCTTCATAGAATATCAAAGGCTTGTCATGAGAAGGAACTTGGAATCAGTTCACTTCAATTTTTGATGGTACACAGGTATCTTGTATCAGTATAAGCTCTGATCACAAATGCACAAAAAGTTCCAGCAAGCTTGACACAGATCATGTGCTGAATTTTTATGAATTTTTGTGGCAAAAGTGTTCAAGATTTGTGAAATCCTATTATCAATTGTACCCTTATTTACCAAAAGTATCTTGTAAAACTAGAACCTAAGCTATTAATTTACTCATCAAAATCTTGTAGGGAACAAAACAATTTGTCTTGTATGCTCTTTGAGGATTAAATTATCCAAAGAGAAAATAAATTGTTTGCCAAGATGTCAAGCACTTCAAGGGAGAACCAGGTTTTGTGTTCAAGTTCTATTGAACATGAGATAGAAAACAGTCTGAAAGAAAACTTTTCTGATCTTTGTGTTACTTTTTTCTCTGGCCCTTGTTGTGAATATTTGATTTCTATAACTTTTGAAGATATCCACTTTCATGAGTCAAATTATAATCAAAGTGATTTGAGATAAGATCATTAAAATGATATTTTGTAATAAAACCTGATGAATGAAGTTTCTTGGAAAATCCTGTTGGGTTTATTGGAGCCTGATTAAATAGCTTCCCAAACCCCACAAGACATAAGTCAAATATGGGTTCAGCTTATGAGAGGTTTCCAAGTTGACAATCACTTTGGTTTTGGAGCTTTTAGGTTTAAGTGTAGTTGCAATGCCAAGACCTGGTTTAACCTGATCTGATGAGATTCAATGAACCAGTCTATATCAGGTCAAGTATGCAACCCACCATACTCTACTAGATTTGTTGTTGGGATCAATACCTCTTTTAAATTTTCATCAATAGTAGACAAGGATACATTGCAAATGACACAAAACTTCAAGTTCCACCTTGATGTCTTGTCAGGCTGGCCCTGTGCAAAGGTGATTGGGCTCATGGGTTCCATGGTTGGTTCACACTGATCAATTTGAACAGCGTACACTGGCTCTGAACAAATTCTCTCAGCGGAGAGCACAAGACACCATCAAGATTCCAGCCACAAAAAGCAAGTACACCACAGAGGTGTCTGGCCGTCTACAGACGGGCCAGCCAGGCCGGCGGCAGACCGCCAACCTTTGCAGAGGGGCAGGCCGTCTGCCGTTGGGCCTCACGGCTGGCGACTGGCAGGCGCCTGCTTAGCCCGCCTGCAGCCGGCCTTGTTCGCGCCTGCTGGCGATCTGCAAATCGCCCTCAGACGGTCAGCGGGCTCATGACCACCTGCAGGCGAGCTCAGCAGGCGCGTGAGGGGCCCATGACCCAGCTGCAGGTGAGCTGCAATCCGACCTCAGATGGTCAGCTGGGTCATGGCCCGAGACACATTGACGGGGGTTTTCAGCACTCGAAACCGGTTTGACCGGTCCGACTCAGCAAATAGGGGTGGGCTTCAGGCTCAGGGATGGCTCAGGCTCAGCTCAGTTCAGCTCAGCTTGTGGGCACATAAACAGGGGAAATCAATTATATGCTTCATTTCACAGTTTATTTATTTGACTAATGGATACAATTTGTAATTACATGGTTGAATAATTCTTTAGATGATCAATTGAATAATCATTTTAATTTGCTAGTTGATTCTGTCGCTGGTCATTCCTGTTCCAAAAATCGAGTAAAACCAGATTGTAATTCTTCATCTAAATCAAGGAATGTAGATCCTAAAGTCCTCTACGTTCCAATCATTTTCAGATGATTCATCTAATGCTAGATGTTCATCACCATAAAATGATACATGATCGATTTCGAATGAAACACCTATTTCAACCAGAAAATTTCAACCGAAATACAGTCAATTAGTTGTTTCTAACGATCAGAAAAGTGATGCACTAAGATAAGTTGGACGTACCATCTGTGGTTGAATCAATTCCCATTCCACCTTTACCAGTACTCACAGTACTCATAGCAGTTCTAACTCTAGTATTTTGAATTTCTTCTTTTTCAGCATCTTCTTATTCAAGTTCAATTTCTTCAACTTCATCCATCCGTTCAATATCTGAACAAGAGAAATTTGAATGCTTCATAATACAAAAAAAGAAAACATGAATATCAAAGGCTTGACTAGATTTTGATCCAAGGAAAAAAGGAGATAGACTTACTTTTTGCTGCCGAATGTTCTTGTAAGTGTTACTTCATCTGATCCAGGAACATCATTGATCTACATTCGATAAAGAGTTTATGAATAACTTGAGACGATTTTATAAAGATTGGATAAGAAAAGTGTTGTACAGTAAAAGTTTGATTGGCTTTGAAGGTTTTCAACCATGTAGGTTCTTTAGTTGATTCAACTTCTCCCGAATATTCAATTTCAGATCCAAGTCTTACAATAAGTTCACTATTGGCTATTTGTCATACAAAGATTCGATCAAAGACCGTTAGCTTAAGATAATAAAACATTAGGACTGATAAAAAAAGTTTCAAACCTTGACCAGCTGATCTGTTACCAGATGAAGTAGAAAAGGTGTAACAGGTAGGTTGATTAAGTTGAAGGGAAGAAGACCATTCATGATAGCTTTAAAGATAAATCTGTACTGATTCCAGAATCAATCATCTTTTGAATATTTTCTGCACAAATTCTCTGAAAGATATCTTGCAACAATGCAAGATCGAACGATAAATGAGACCACTGATTGAGTTGAAGCCATGAGTTAGTATAAGTGATAGACTATTTTGAGTTTGACAGAGGTGATTTACGTACCTCAGTGATCGCAGTACCAGCAATGACTGGTGCTCTCGAACTGATGGCTCCGATCACAGTGAACCAAGTTAGACAAATGTTGAATCGTTCTCCGGTGGAAATGTATTGAATAGTATAACTGATTGAAGTAGATGAATCTTTATAGAGAAAACTTGCCGATAATCATAGCGGCCAAAGTGGCTATCGAATATGGCACAAATCTTAGTCAAATCCATGACGCACTCCTTTGTCAAATGGAAATCTAAAAAAAAACTTACTTTGATAAAAATTGTGACCAGAAATAAGGTTATCAAGGTTGATGAGATACTGTCAAATAATGGAGTGATTGGGAATGGATATTTGAAAGGTTTCTCTTTGCTGGTTGCCCAAACCAGGGGCAACACAGTGAACACGTCAGCTTTAACCTAACAGATCTAGGTTTTGGCCCACGTTTTGACAGAGGGAAATCAGGGGAAATCTGTTTTTGCGAACCACAGACTTGCAGGGAAGTGTTCAGTCGGGGTTGCGAGTGTTGGTGGTCTGCTTGCCCTTTCTCCGGCGATCTGGCGGCCGTTATGATTGGCGGCTTGATGAACGCCTGACTGCAGGCTGCCTGTGGACAGCCCGCAGTCGGTCTTCAGGCCTTCTTGCATCCTGGCGAGCCGGCGTCTGCGCGCTCAAAGCGTCCCATCTACAGGCCGCCTGTAAAATGGCTGCAGGCGGTCTTCAGGCCATTTTGCGATGCAACCAACATGACATCTGTGCGCCGGAAGGATGGCCGACTGCAGGCTGCCTCTCGGTGGCCGGCTGTCGGTCTATAGGCCAGTTTTCGCTCAGGCCAATCTCAGACAATGGCAGGCTGATTTCTGACAAAAAGTCCTCCCGTGGTGTAGACTCCTTGGTGGACTGTGGCATATTGTGACTTAGTCGGAGCGGACTAGGCTGACCCGGCTCCGTATCCGACTCGTCGGTTTCTGGTCCGGGTGCTGGTTTGCATGAAATCCGAGGGTTCTGCATTCACATGCTGTATTCTGCGTTCTACATACAAAGGTTTACTTCCTGCTATGAGTTTCCTTATCAAGCCGACTCGCTTTACCAGCATCAATGACGACCAGCACGAGTGTAGAAACATGAAATGCAGTGGTTTTCAAGTGTGTGTTTAAACCTCCTGCAAATCGCCATCCCGACGGCGATCAAGGCTCATGAACATCGAGGGCTTGTGGCAAGGCCTACTAATTCCTTTTTGCACCGCGGTTAACATATGATGCAATCATTTTGTGCGGATCTCGGATGAAACGATTGCAGAAGATAGGATGAAGTTGGAGACGTCTGCTAAGTTCCCGGGAACCCAACGTTCAAGGCTGTGTTGCGGCCGGCCTCACGTCTTTCCAGCTTGAAGCAAAAATGTTTGACGGTGACCACTGGCATCGAGCCCTGGCTGGCTTCAGAGCTGTATGGACATCAAAGGCCGCGGTGTTGAGACTCTTCGCAATTCTTCCCAAGGCCATTGTTTCCAAACAAATCTGTTGCAGAATAATCCTTTCTCGTGACAGTGTATGTCGGCGGCAGATCGTGTGATCAACATGCCTTATCACAGGATAGCATTGCCCTGATGGACATGTTTCCTGATCATGAATCTGTGCAGTCAGACTTCAAAATCTTGATAGGATAAGGAAGTGGACGATAGGTGACCATGGAAGGTGACCCTCTCTGACATAGGACTTGCTGGCTGCGACGCGGATCTGAATCTTGTTAGATTTGTTACTCAAGGGAGGAGTCTGGGTCGAAACGTGATGATTTTACGATGTCGCTCAAAGTCTACAATGTAGCACACAAGTTGTCCAATGCCTCCTGTGTCATAGGACTATTCGTCATCCAGATGAGCTGCCTGTCCTTTCGTATTCGCAGGGAGCATTCCAGTCGCTCAAAAAATGTCAAGCACTTCGGTCCCGCCAGATTCGGAAAAATAGTTCATGCGAGCATCTTTGGATGCAAGTCTCTGAAACATCAGCACGCTTGGCCTCGCTTGGTTGTGAGGGCAGCTTGAGGGGACCATATGGCGTGAGGCGTTCAGGTCTCAACTAGAAAGCACCCTAGAAAGATGCATCATCCACGAAGAAGTCAGCCACACTTGAGGAAGCGTCATGTACCACCTCATGTACTCAGATTATCTGACGCCAGTGTATCAGATACAATCTTTCTTCCGTCTTCTTCGTGACAAAGAAAGGGACTATGATTCATTTGCATCACCGCCACGCTCGATCTCAGCTGCACGGCTTTGGCGAGCGGACTTAGCTTTGCCGTGGAGGACTACACCTCCTAAATTGTGAGGCTTTCGATAAACATTTAGAAATCACATTCAAATCAAATGGGTGCCGCACCCTCGCTTGTGATCTGTTAATGCACCGTTACCGTTGCTGACACCACCACCACAACCACAGCGAAAGCCGTGTTCAGATTTGCCGTACTTCTTTCAGCCTTTTGAATTTTTATTTCTTTACCAAACAAGAAGAACCTAACGTACATCTTCCGAATCGGCTTCTCAAAACTTCTTCTTTGTTAGCTTGATTTTTGACCTCTTTACTCTTCTCTCCTCCCGTCACTTAGACCGAAAGCTCCCGTCTCACTCAGAAGTTCCCTCTGAATTCCTCAGCTCTACTGCTTCTACATTCCTGTTTCCCAACGTCTCTTCCTAGGCACTTCATACCTCGTCTGCGTCCTTCTTACTAATTGTGTAATCAAATTCCAGGCCATTTTGAATCTTTTGTGATGATGCACTGCTGTGAGTTCGAGTCTTGATGCTTCACCCGTGTGTGGCCCAAGCTGATGCTTTAGTCTTCGTTTTCTGATATGTCTAGCCTACGTGAGTCTTCCTCGCCCTTCCTTTACCTTACAACAAGCGCTTTATTAATATTTCTCCACTTCCCTTTTATGGTGGGTTTGTAATTCCCAGACCACAACGTAAGTCTCGATTCCTCGTCTAACTCTCACTGCATATCTTCCATTGTGTTAAGCGACACAATAGATCTCGCTAGAGATTATTTGCCTAATGGAGAGCTAACTAACTAAATCACCTATAACCTTTGATCACATCCTAATATACTCATCTCAGTGGTCTTCCCGTCTTATCTGTGCGTATATATTCATCACATTTAATTTCACCCTTCTAGTCCGGCGCATCGCTAACGCATCATCTTTCATTCTAAATCATCTTGACCTCAGCAGCATTCGTACGATTATAACGAAGGAAATAATGGGAATCAACCCCCTCTCAATGTCGATCTCAACATTCAATCTCAACAATCCGCTCTTTCACATCCAACAAATCATTCAATTCCACGTTCTGTGGGTGGCCACTCGAGCCTCTTACACTCCACTGCTCCAATCGAAAATGGAATCAATCACTCCCATCAGTATCCTTTCTCCCCTATACCCATCTCTCATCAACAGTATTCACCAAACTTGAACTATTCTACAAACCATATTTACACGAGACCAGAACATGTTGGTTACCTACCGAACAGTCCTAACATGCAACCTGTCCAAAGCTGTCCCGGACTACCATACATTTCCAAGACTCATCAACATCATTCCAATGCGCGCCGATCTACGCCCTTGTCACCTCATAATGAGCTAGTTCCTATCTCTAATCATTCACGAGGAGACTCGACTTCTGGGCCCTCGCGTATCATGTCTCCGGTTCAACCTAAGAATGAAGTCTCTGATGTTTCTGATGGCATACAGCAGCTCCAGTTGGCAAGCGAGGCAGCTGAAGTCAAAGAGTCTGGTCCTCCAGCCGCGAGTACTGTGAGTACCTGAACTGTTATCTTCAAGTTCTTCCTCTCTGACATGATGTACGGTTATGCAGGCTTTCATCAGCAAGCTTTACCATCTTTGTTCACACGATGATTACCATCCTTACATTGTACGTCTGAATTCAATTTAAGAGTATTCATAAACCTCACTAACCATCCACTCCTTTACGTAGAGGTGGAATGCCGCCGGTGATGCATTCGTCTTGGCACACGGTGAGCATTCTTTATCAAAGTGGTGCATTCTCTACATTCTAATATCTGACGCGACATTTCTCCACGCAGCCAATGTTGAATTCTCTTCGGTTATCTTGCCAAGGTTCTTTCGTCATAGCAATGTCTCCTCCTTCATCAGGCAGTTGAATGTGAGTCTTCAAGCTTATCTTCGTCTACAAAAAATACCTCAATCAGACCTACGCTGACATTTTACACTGTAGCTCTATAACTTCACCAGACTACCAACTATCAAACTTCTTGACACAATAGATAACAACACGAACCCTTCACCAGCTTGTGCTTATTCAGGATTCTCTCATCCAAACTTTCTTCGTGGTGATACTGCTTCTCTAAGGCTCATCAAGCCAAAGCCAAGTAAAAGTAAAGCAGCTCGAAAAGCCTGTAAAGATGCAAGTCTGATTGATGATAAAAGTAAAGCTCATCGTCGGAGTACACCTGCTAAATCAAAGATGATCTGATGATCATGATGCGTCTTTTTTTTTGCTTTGATTTCCAAATTCATGTGTTTCGGTCGAGTCTTTCATCTTTTCTTTTCTTTTTCTTCATCTATCAATATACATCTGTAAAAACATGTTTCTATTCAACTCTTTTTTTCTATATATATATTTTTTTCCTTACGATTTTATTTTTGTAAACGGAAGAAAGAAAATTTTTACAGTTTGAAGAAATTAAGGAATTTAAGGAAGGAATTAAGTTAGTCAAGAAGGATATAGGATCTCTCTCACGTTTCGTACACGTTTTTTGAAGTGCGTTTGTTGATGTGTTTGTTTATGTTATGATCTTGTTTTTGTTTGTTTTCTGTTTTTCATTTGAAAGGATCTTGTTTTACACATAGTACAAAAACCTTTTGTACTTCAATCATCCTTTCTTGTGTTTGTCTTTGGATATCAATCTCTTTAAGTCAATGGCCTCCAATCAATGTGTTTGTGATCTTTTCATTGTTTTGTTTTTGCGTGAGTTCATTTTGGATCATCTAGGTGTCATCGTATTATGCATGAAGTTATTGTCTCAAAGAGATGAAAATTTCTAGTGTCCCAGATCGCGCAGGAGTAACTTGAACCTCAAGCCAAAGCATCTCACGTCTGCAGCCTTGGGCGAAGTCCCAAAGTGTTGAAAATAAGAGCGTTCCAAAAGCTGTTGAGATTGTGTTGATACTTGACACGCTAAACCGGAGTCAAGTTCAAAAAGAACCCTGTGGTACAAACTTAACATAAGTCCCTATGGATGGACCTAACCATCCATCCATAGGGACTTATGTTAAGTTTGCCTGTGGTACAAGTTTGCAACACAAGAGAGTATATCCCTACATGGCATTCTCCAATGGATTATCCCATCACGCGAGGCTTCAGAGATACGAGTTTTTACTTGCTTTATGATGAGCGTTTCAAAACAAAATTGACTTGGTATAGGAAAACTATCCATCATATTCTGACTTGAAAGCAGTCTATGATACAAGCAGCTTTGATTATGAAGGTTTAAGAAATATGCACAAGGAAGTGAGGTATCTCACTGGGTTTTTCTGGTCACCAATTTATTCATCAACTCCATGGGTTAACCAATCTGGTAAGTTGAATCAGGTGTCTCATGTGGGAAATCGAGTTTGTCTGCCACTTTACACAGATTTTTTGGCTGTGGTGACTGATCACGAACCGAGGATGATTTGAGAACAGTGATCTCTTTGAGATACAGTGTGTATTTCATCGGACCCCAAAATAATACGTAGAATGATTTTGAAACTTTAACTGAGCTATCTTTAAGAAAACTATACTCAGAAAGTCAACGTTGTCCTCTAGAAGATTTCCATTTACGTTTAGCTGATATCAAGGAAGAGATCAGATATCTACATGTGGCTTAAAGAGGTCAGCTCCTTGAGATTACGATCCATAAGTAAAGGACATTGATGAATTTGTTATCTTGAACTGGATGACTGAAGATTGATAACTACAAAGACTTGAAAGCCAATCATCAATTTCCATCAAGTGATTTAAAAAGAGGTGAGTGATTTATGCGAATTCTACCTTGGATCATGAAGCTAAATTCGTTTGCATACTCATCACGCCTCTTACCCATCATTCATTCATGAAGGATGAAAGAAGTTGCAATTTCAATGATCAAATCAGTTTCATGTGGAGTTTGGATCATCATAAGATGGTGAGGAACGTGATGGTCATAAGAAGATCGCAGCTGAAAAGCATTTGTCCATCATGACTGGTAAATAAGCATGTGGAAGTTACAGTTGATGATTGAAGTGTTGAAAGGTTAGTAAGAAGCTGAAGCAGTCTATGACGTCAATTGTTGATTCGGAAGAAACCCATTTGGTGAAGTGGTGAAGAATGGAATCAGATTGATTGATCGAAACTAAGCCTGATTGAATTTGAGGATCATAGAAAGATCACTCAAACCGATCTCAGTCAGTCATCACAAGATCAATCACCATGGATTGGATTGGGTTACTCAGCATTCGATCGATCAGTTAACCTGTTAGATATCATGGTGGATTGAATTTGATGGAAATCGATTTAAAGAACCAAGTGAAAGTAAAAAGCTTTCGTTTAAGAATCCCATCATCCTAAAGAGTTGACTGTCGGACTAATTTCTCAATAAGTGATTAGAGATAAATATTCAAAATGGTGATCTCTAATACTCAACCTTCAACTCCTTCTATCCAATCACCACCACATTATCATGAGATTTCTAATTTAAATTCATTCAATCCATCATCAAACTCTTACTTTCCAATCTTACCTTCTTCATCATCTCCACCACCACCTCCACCACCTCCACCACTTATACGTAGATTCACTTCACCTGATTTGTTACCTACTTTAAAACATTCTTTAATCAAACCTCATCAGCAATTCACTTCATTCGTTTCTCGTTTCTCTTCTGTATTAAAAAAACCTACTTTACCTCTTCTTAATCCTCCGACTCATCGACCTAAAAAACTTCAAAAACCTCGTCCTAAAAATCATCCTCATCCTTCAAATAAACATAAAAATTTAAATTATCAACCTATTACCTTACAACCATGGTTTAATGATTCAGATTCAGATTCAGATTTTGATAATGATGAAGAAGATGATTTGAATGTTAAAGCAGTAGAAAGTAAATCTCCAATTCGTACAATCGTCAAACGTACACCTGTTCATTTCTTTACGGGTGATTCAACGGTCATTGAGATTCAAACTTTTTGGTCAGATGGTACTCAAATCATTTCTAAACCTCAAATCGGATCTCATTCTATTTTACGTAGACCAGAATATTGGATGGGTTGGCCTTCACGACGTCAATCATGATAGTTAGCTTTATTCATCTTATCTCTTTCTCAGGTTTTAAAGTGGTTGACATTCTTGAATGTTTAACTCAGGTCTTTTGGTTTTGCTTTGATTTTTCATCGGATACTTTCACGCATCAAGTCTTGGGTTTTTGTTTTTGTTCTTTTTCGAGTTTTTAAATCCACTTAATGATATAATGGATTGTATTGTAAGTGATCTTAACTATTTCTTCATCAAGTGGAATGAGGTATAGTCAATGTTTTATACTTACTTGATATCTTTTCCTATATGTCATTCTCTAAATTCACAGTATTCGTCTCTTCATCAGCATTTATTGGTCATCATGTATCATTAGTTTTCATCTTACTCGCATTCATCTTTCTTTTAAAATTGTTATGGGCTTTGTATATTATCATCACCTTTTTTTGATCTATATTCTCTCAACACTTTGAGTCTATCATCATTCATTTCACGAATCCCTGTACCATTAGTGTTGATCTTACTTGCATTCTGTCTCTATCAAATGCTCACGTACCTTGTAGATTGTTATTGTTTGTTTTACGCTGCATTTTCTCAACAATCTATCTTCATCACTCATTTCCCAACCCCTATAATTGTAAATGTGTATCATTAGTGTCTATCTTACTCGCATTCTCGGTCTGTGAAATATTCGTGCACCTTAGGTTGTACTATTATCATTTGTTTTACTCTACATCTTCACAACATTCTATCTATTGTCATTATCACTCATTTCCCAACCCCTTCAATTATAAATATGTACAGCCCTTTGCAGAATTGATGACTTTGGAAAAAGAGAAAACGCTTGAGTTTTCAAAAAAACCTGCGAGTTTTTTTCAGTTTTTTTTCAAAAACTCATTGAGTTTCTCAAAAACTGAGCGAGCTCTTTCTCTTTTAGACTTACTCAGCCAGGTTTCCAAAAAAAACTCACTGACTTTTTGAAAAACTCAGCAGCTTTTTGACAAAACTCAAGGTTTTTTATTTGAAAACTCGAGGTTTTTTTTCTTCAAAGTCATCAATTATGCAAAGGGCTGTATCATTAGTGTTTGTTCTACTCGTATTATTCGTTGTGGAAAACTAGCATCTGCCTTGTACATCAAATTCATATGATTTAATCTACATTCTTAGAACGCTCTGTTTGTTTCTCATTGTAATTTCAATTCTGTAACGTCAAAATTGTAGCTTTACCAATTTCATGACCGCGGTATTCTTCGGATTTTATTTTACCTTGGGGTTAGCTGCAAATTACTTTGACTGATTTCCTTGATTTGATCATTTGGACATATAGCTTCAAGTCTGTTAATATTTATTCACTGCCCATCTTTAACTTTTTGAACAAGAACAAACAAGAGCTAAAACTGAAGAAAATGAGACTCTGATGCATGGTTTAATCCAACAAAGCCTATCAATTCATCCTACTTGAATCTTAAATACACCAAGATCATTCTCAAGATCGCTTGAGAGAAAGAATCGAATAGGAACAAAGCTTTCGTATGTTCTGACTCGTTCTAAGGTATAAGGCCTTAGGTTTACTTTATCTGTTAAATCAGTTTTTCTCAAGTTGAAATTTAGGTTAAGAGCTTTAACGAAGGGACTGCGGCGTTACAGTTAGTGCTCCCACTGTTTGGCCGATGAAAATTTGACTCTTATAAACCTCGATTCCTCTTTCCTCGCCTTGCTCCCTACCAACGATCATCAAGCATCATCATGAAATTCTTTCTTATCCCTCAAAACCGAACCGGATTTTATCCTCACTCGACTTCAACGTAAGCACTCTTTACATTCCTTCTGCTTTCACTTCAATTCACCTTACTTTCATACATATGATGAGTCAAAATTTATCACAGACCTGAGCTATAGACTTACCTTACCTTTGGGTTAAAGTGAGGTTGTAGAAACAATAATTTTCCTTATCTACTCTGAACTATTCTTTTTGAATTTTCTTAATATTAACATTTTCCCTTTTTGATCGATAAGTAACACTTTAAACTGACCAATGCTCTCTTTTTTTGATTTCGATTTTCGATTTGAAGGGTTCTTTTCTTTTAATTCGGTTTCTCTTTTTGTTAGTTTGTTGGTCCCTTTTGTATCGTACTAGTTACACTTTGAATATTCGAAAATGTATTCCACATGATCTCTCATTGCCATTCCCCGTTAATTGATGCTAATTCAAAATGCTAGTGCACTGCTAATGCATCAATGCCTCCTGTAACCGTCACATGCTCAGCCTCAAGTTTGATCCTCATTCAATTGTTAAAGAAGGATGCATAATAAATTGTAATTGAAGAAAAGAGACAATAAAGAAAGAGAAGAATCATGAAAGTGTAATTCAAGAAAGTATCAAAATATAAACAGATGAAGATCAGAAAGAAAGAAAAATAAAGTGAAGAAAAGTGAAAATAAAGGGTAGTATAGATTATAAAGAGATTGATAAAGAAAGATAGATAAAGAAAGATAGATAAAGAAAACAAGTATGATTGTCTTATTGGTTTTTCCTCAAGATTTCCTCTCGAATGAGACCTCCTGCCAGGACCCCGGAAAGCTCCAGGGAAAGTATCCGACCTAAAACCACCCCAATTGACCTTTTCAATACCCCGTGACGCGGTAAAAACCCGAAAATCGAGCTTGAACAATCCCGGTTACGTCGGTAGGTTTAAAGAGCAAAAATCGCTAAAAATCTCCCAGGAGACCAATCCATTTGTTTTTGGTCGGTACGTACGTCCATAAGACAGTGTTTTTGGGCTTTTTTTTTGGCTCAGGAGAAATCCATACCTGTCACGTCGGTAGGTCTGAATTCCAAAAATCTGATTTTGGCTTGAAAAACCCCCAAAAAATACCTTTTTCGTTGGTACGTTGGCCTTTTTTTCAACCCTCAATCCATTCATTTTACGCCGGATAGTTCACCTGGAGCTTTCCGGGGTCCTCTCCTGCCTCCTTGAAATATGGTATACAAATATTGTTCTGGAGATTTCCAGAAGGTTTTTCCCAGAACGCCAAAACTCTTCTGGTGTTCTGGAAAAACTATATTTCTGTGAACAAGGTTCCACTTGGTGTTACAGTCATCTACTCAGGATTCTGGTATTCTGGACGGCTGGTGGGTTCAAACTTCCAGAACACCAGAATGTCAGATACCATTATAATTTTTCTTTCTGACATTCTGGGAAAAATCTTTTGGAAATTTCCAGAACAATATTTGTATACCATAAAAGTTGTCTTTGGACTTCACTAGGCCTTTGCCCCGGCCCCGGACCCCGCCCCCGCAAGGGTGGGAATTGGGACATGTTTTGGCAAGAAATGCACGGCGGGGAATTCTTGGGCCAAGATGCGGGAGCGAACCCAGTTCCCCGAGCTCCCCGTACTTTAAGAGCATGTGATAAAGGCAGAGGTTAGGTGGGAAATAGGCAAGGGAGTAGTGCTCAGGGGGACTTGGAGCCATGCTGAGCAGTGAAAATTCAGACTTTTCATTTCAATTGGTGAAGGTCACATGTATGTATGTATCATTCTGATGAGAATCTAATCATCAAGCCCATCAAAATAAGCTGGAACAAATGCATGGTACCACTCTTTAACACAAAGAAGCCGCTCGACAGTATCAGGATTGAGTGAAGATCTTGAATAACGCAGGACAACACGCCCTTCAGAGAAAACATGCTTGGAAGGGCAGCTGGTCGCTGGGATTGCCAGGTATGCAATCGCCATTGCAGACAAAGCAGGGTAGGTTTTGACCCAGCCCTTCCAGTATGCAAGTATGTCGTTGTCCTTGTGCTCAAGCGGCTCAAGAAGGTAATGAGTTATTTTGTTTGTTACCAATGACCCTTTGTCGGTGACAGATGGTATCCCAAAAAGATCATTGTCGAGTGATGCAGAGGGTTGGACAGCTGGTGACTCAATGCTGATGATGTCGGGAGTTGCAAAAGTGTCATAAGCCTGAGCATTTTGTATGAAATCGACTTTCAAAGATTCCGCCAAGTGCCCATAAAGTTTGAGAGAGTCTTGATGCTTTTTGTAAAATTCCATTTTGACACGAGGGTCAAGAATGGTTGAACAGACCGGACCAGGTTGCTTTAAGGCAGCAATAAGGTAAGTTTCAAGCTTTTTGATCATGTCATTAGCAGCCGGGACGAGCTGGCTAATGCCGTATGTGTAGTGTACCTGGTTATGGGGAACGTAAAGTCAGCATATCGCGGGATGATTGAGATGTTACAATGTGAAATAACACACAGCTTGTAATTTATTTATCACAACAATATAGACTGGAATGATTCTGTTGAGTGTAGGGTACGCGGTTGCACAGAGACATTTGGTAGCAACATTGAGAGGTTTAAGGAAGTTCATCAATATCCCAAGTTGCTTCCATTTGATTGGGGAAAGCTTGAACTTTTCACCCTCGGGAGTCGCACAGAACTGATTGCAAGCACTCCTGTACACATTGAAATAAGTCAGGAACAAGCAGTAAGTAGGAAACAAGAGAAAGTTGGCGTACCTGAGTAACAAGGCACACTCTAGCATAGCATAGGTCAAATTCCAATGAGTTTGAACGCCAAGAATCAACAATTGAGCCACTGTTGCTGGTGAGTTAGGAGTCGGGAAGAGTCGGATGAAGTTCTGAAACAACTCCAGACGCTGAGGGCTCGCACAAGTGTAATTTGAAATGCCATGAACTCGTTTGTACACAGAGGCCATATCAACATGTGCTCCGTCAGGAGCGTCAACTAGAGCATTGATGGCCATTGGATTGGCAGGTTCATCTTCATCGTTTTTGGAGTCAACATCAAGGGGACCGAGTACTTTGAGACCTGCAACAGCAGCAAGGTTTAGGACACGGACGACGCATCCCAGAAGCTGCTTGTTGGACTTAAAAATCCCACCTGAAGCTGCCTCAATCGCCTTCGCCATAGTTTTGTTTGAAGAAGCGTTATCGGTGGCAATGGCAAATAAGTTCTTGAGACCACCATAATTCGAGATGGTGTCCAAGAATAGATCCGCTATCCATCAATGTGAGCAGAAATCCTGTACTTGATCTGGTTCGCTTTCAAGGACTTACCCTGGAGGTGGGGGATACAAAGAAGGACATCTATCTTCTCAAACTTTGGTGTGATCATGTGAGCCGTGATAGCCATAAATCCAAGCATCAAGCGTGTATGCAACAGCCGGCGCTTTGGCGAGGGGATGACTTTGGAGATGTTCTTGATGAAATAGAAATACATGTTGCAAGTGGCAAGCCATTCCATCTTCCTTGACCAGCATTGAGGTAGTATCTTGGTTACAAAGTCAGAGTAGAGTGGTAAAAGATTTCTTTTCAAACATTGCAAACAAAAGATCACAATTACAAATGAAATATACAATGGCAGTCTTTAAAGATGCAGTGGTCAAGCAGGGCTTAAAGACATCAAAAGAAGAGGTTGAAAGTGGATACATTAGAATCAAGGAGAAATCGAGGAAAACCTGGCAATATATATCCTATACATACCAATTTTGCAGCCTTCCCAGTTGCTAAGAACCTGTTGATCATGCCCATACACTTGATCCTTTTGTTGGGATCACCAAGGTTGTGTTTGGCGGTCAAGTGATCTGACATGCCCTTGGTGCTAGAACGGGCATCACGAGCCAGGAGTCACTGCCAGCATTAAATAGGTTCCCTGGTAGGAACATGACCTAGGCTGGGAATATAATTGAGAGAAGAATGGAGCATCAAATCATCTTGCACTGTACATCTGAGCCATAAAGCATACACTACATATGTGCAAACATCTGAGTAAATCCTTAGCTATCAGCTACATACATGTCCGCTCAGTTATCTGCTCATCTAGATAAGCAAATCATGTGAAATACATGCTGTAACTTTGTTCAGCTTGAGACACACATTTCAAAATATTGACTACATATATCACAATGGTTGCTCAGGAAATATACATGGAACTGTGTAACAGTAGCAGAATGGGAATATGATCCCTACCACCCATATTCCCATCTGGGAACCTCTTTAATGCTGCCAGGAGTGCACCACATTCTTTCCCACTCTTCAAAGTCACAGTACATTGAACTTTCTTCCCGCAGGCAGAAGGGTTGAAATGCGTCCAAACCCAACTCCTCTTGATAGAGGGTGTGCGGCTCTGGTTATTATTTAACTCCGGACCACGGATGACTGGCTCTTGAGTTTGACCAGCAGCTAAATCATTGGCCATTGGAAATATGTGAAAAGTTATAAAGTTAGATATTTGGATGGAGATATTTGGATGGGGATGTTTGGATAGAAAGACTCACGTAATTCGCCTCTCTTCACAGTGACATTTTACTAGACACTGGCAGGCCAGTGAGTACCATCACCTCAATCCAATCTCAATCCAATCTCAAAACAATACAGAAACAATATTAAAACTATTTCAAAACTATTTCAAAAACTATTTCAAGCCAATCTCAAGCCGATCTCAATGTTTGGCCTGGAATAACAGCCAAACAACCTTCCAGACTGAACTTAAATGAACTTTAGGTGCATGTCCACACATGAATTTGTCAGAATAATTGGAAGGTTTGAGTATATGTCAGATACAACACAATTTTTATTACCAAATACCCTTCTCAGCCCATTCCAAAGACTTCTGTAAAACAGAAACCAACAGCTCTTGAGAATAAGACTCCTTAACCAACTTGAGAGATCCCTTTGATCTTGATATGTATATCTTGTGCCAATGAAGGTTTCTTTGTTGAGATGTCAAGTTTTTCAAAACTCAATCAAATATTTAGTACTTTCTATATTCAGCTTTGTTGTTGATTTATCATGGCAAACTGGCTGGTGATTTCAGCCTATATCTCTCTGACCATGGCCATGAGCCTCCTGGTATGGTTGACATGGTATGATGCAGCCTGTGAGAACAACATGTGATTGTCTATGGCCCGTGTTTCAATTTTACTCCCATGTGCAGTATGTTTTAATGATCTAAATAGTTTGAAAGATTTTTGGTTTTCTTGTGGTATGCTTCCAGAATCTTTCTAGATTTCACAAAATGAGAGAAAAAGAAACACTTGGAAAACTTATGGTGTTGAGCTATGATTTCCGCAACTCTGTCCATCAGAGTTGTTGAGGATTGTGCATCCTTCATTCCATGAACCTACACTTCTGTTACATAGCTTGTAATTGAGTTGGAAATAGGAGTCCATAAAGACCATGAAAGAATACCACACAAGTTTAAGCTTTCCTGCATTAGATATTTTCAGAATGGAATCCACCATACAGATCAATTAAAAAGAAGCCATTGGAAGATTCTGGAAGATCAATTTTCATATTCAGCTGTACTACTGAACTAGCCTCATGCAGAGCTGCCAGTATATGCAGGTCATGCATATCCCCCACTCAAAGTGAATTGGAAGTCAATCTGATATTGTTGTGATATTGTTTTTGGAATTGTTTTGAAATTGTTTTGAGATTGTTTTGAGGTGAATGGGACTCACTGGCCTGCCAGTGCCTAGTAAAATGTCACTGTGCTTTATAGTATTTTTTCCACTTTTTTCACAATCCACAAGCACCCAATTCTTGAGACACTCCTTGATACCATCATACTTCAATCCCAAAGAGTCTTTGGGACTCTTTGCTCCCTCCCTTGCTTAAATAGTCTCAAACGTGTGTTCTAGTCTTGAGACACCCTTGGGACTCTGTGCTGGGACTCTTTGCTCCCTCCCTTGCTTAAATAGTCTCAAATGTGTGTTCTAGTCTTGAGACACCCTTGGGACTCTGTGCTTCCTTGCTTAAATAGGAATGTGCAACTTTTTTTGTGCTCTCAAACACGTGTTCTAACTTCTGGGTGTCAGTAATTTGCACCAATAGGAATAGAAGATCCACCCACTTGGGTTGGAAATTTCCTCTGTCGCAAGCTAACCACCCCTTGGGCCCTTTGAAAAATCCACCTTGTCTTTTTTCATTTTCATTTTTTTAATTTTTTTTTTGGTGGACCCCCTGCATCCCCCGTCTTCCCGCCAAAACATGCGGGGGTGGGCTTCGGGATCCAAAGTCGCACTCCCGACATGCGGGGATCCTGCAGGGGAGGGCTGCGGGGGTGCTCAGGAGGGCGGGGGAAGGGCCGGGGCAATGGCCTAGACTTCACTCTCTGAGTTCAATCAAAAATGGCATCCCAATGCTTGCTCCATCTAGCCCCTTTGATTATTTAACCCTATGGCCCTGTATAGCACTGTGTGTACTGCAACATATAGCACTTCAGAGTGTTCCAGAGCGCTATACCAATGTACGCTACATCATCACTGCACAACGATCTTACAACATCATTCTTGATCAATGGATAGCAGGCCAGTAGACAACATAAATATTGTGTTTTTGCCAAGATTACAAGTTAAAGTTCAGCTCAAGGACCCTGGTTAAGCTTGTTGTTACCTCAACTACATGCTCCCACTCTTTGGCAAATGGGAGGTTGACACATGTGATTGATCTCAAAACCTTCAACTGTGAATGGAGAAAAACAGTTTTTGTAATATTCCTGAGAAGGAAACATATCACAAATTAGTCTTGAGAAGGAAGACTAAGAGTTTGTCAAAGAAACCACAATCTAAGGAATCTTGATTATGAGAAAACAAAAAGGTTTGAGTTTGATGGGGAAAAGAACAGGAATGATACGAGCACACTCTTATATAAATGAGTATTCACAGAGAACCCAATACCTTCTGCATGATGAGAAAGAAAAGTGAAATATACCTGAATGTGACCAAAAAAGACAATTAAATCCTGATCACCCAATTTGAGTTTATCAATCTCATCAAAGGGCGCATTGCACCACGGAGACCAATTTTGACAGCTGAAGAGCCACTTTGCAACTTTTTTCATGTTCATCTATTGTAATTTGTGTTAGAAATCTTGAAACTTTGGCCTCAAACATGTAAAACTTTGTCTTCAGGAAATTCACCGCCTGGGTGACTAAGTGTCCAGACAACCCCGAACCCGTGCTTTTGCTGTGAAGTGCTTCGCTGGTCATTTAAGGTAGCCAAAGCATTCTGCTGGTCCACTCAGTAGAACAAAATTTGTAGCTCTAACTATCCCTTGTGCGCCATATTGAAAACGTGCCCGAGCAAAACTGCTCAGCAATCTCCGATTTCCAAATTTTTTAATACCTATTTACACGAATCAATTTGCAGAATCAATTTTTTCTTTGATGGTTTTTGCATATTCCCCAAGTTGACCCATATCGGGTGATTTTGCTGGCCAACCGATTACTAAACCAGATTCATCTGATGGCGCAGGCTTAGGGATAACTGAAATGAGATGTCAATCAGGTATGAGATAAATGAGCAAACGAGGTGCATAGGTCATCAAATTTGAGATTTGCTTACTGTGGAAATGGACATGATCGACTTCTTGATGAGCAATTCGACCGCTAAAGGTTCATTGAGATTAGTATCCTGATCGAATGATGAGTGACTGTGAGGATAAACTGACTTGTTTTGTAAGACATTGTAATCGATCAAATCCATTGCCTTTGCGATGCTTTTTGCAGCAGGAAGGAGGTCTTTAAGGGCACTAATGGTTGATAAACGCAGAACAAATGACAGTGAGTGATCGACGGAAATCTGCAATTCTCATAGAAAGGCGACTTTCGAGTATAAATGTCAAGAGAACTCACGCATCCGGTACATCATGTAATTTAGCACCATGATCTGAAATTGATCAAATCTGAACAAAAGTCAGAAAACAAGATACCAGAAGAACAATTCTTTTCAAAAGCAAGTAATTTTACGTTTTGGTATTACTAAAGCATGGCCATGACTGATAGGATTTATATCAAGAAATGCAAAAGTAGTTTCATTATCGATTAATTTGAATGAAGGGATTTGACCATTGATAATCTTGCAAAAGATGCATGATGGATCTGAATTGTGAGTTGTCATTTTTGTTGTTGACCTTGAGGTGATTGAGAAAGGTGAAGTCTTCGGAATATGATGGCCTAGATGTGTTCTCAATGAATGAAGACGATGATGAAACATGGATTATGAGTTGGGTCAGAGTGATACAGATGGTAAATTAACGGGGACTTATCGTGTTGGGTCCACGGTACTCGTGCCAACGGTTGGGACGAGTACCATCACCGGAGCGGATTTATAAGAGCGGATATAGGAGAAGTCGGGTATCTACACCATCCACCAGAGATGCCAAATAGAGGCCATCTTGCATTCTTCACAGACTGCATGTATGTCAATGGTCTGATGGTTTGGTATTTGTGGGTGGATCTGAATGTGGGAGGTGAGTTGGGAATATATGTCTGCTGTATTTTCAAGTAGAAGTTGCAAAGAATTGGGATTCAGTGTGATTTGCTTTCAACTCCTGTCATTTTTCAGGTATCATATCCAATGTGTATGATAAAAAGCATTTTACATCCTTTTATTTCTGTTTTGTCACAGGATCAAGATTCAAGGGCACAAATCCAGGTGTGTTTCAACAATCATGTGGCTTAAACCTTCTAGCTACACATTCCAATTGTACTTACAATATAAAACAGGAAAAAACAGAAAACATATCTGGCTCAAGTTATCCACAGATCGATCATGTCCAATTCAATGTACACATTCAAAACTAAAGATAGGTGGAGAAACTGATATGGAACAGGGGACCAAGACACCTACAAGTGTTCAAATATCTTCAATCATATCAAGTATGTATACATATATAGAGGCATTGGTTGTTGTGATGGATGAGATAACATCAGAGGAAAATTCAAGAATGATGAATCTACTTGTCTGGAATTTTCACTTTCAATCAAAGTTATCAGACCAAGGGAGAATTTTGAGTATAAGTTCCAAGAAAAATAAATCTTATTTGACCAAACTATAGATGTGAAAAAGCAAGAAGAAACAAAAGAGACAAATATGAAACAAATCTATGAAGAAAATTGGCTAGGATCTTTTAAATTATTAAATTAGAAAGTCAATACATGTTTTAGAGCTAAGAACAGTGAAGGTGATTTTGCTCACTTATATAACTTCAGAAAGAAGCTCAAGATGCTATGATTGAAAGAGGACGAATGATTACCCCAAAAGAAACCATATGCACCTAGCTTTGGGGCTTGATTATTCAAAGAGTGATAGATAAAAATGAACAGATACGATGAGATGTGATTTTAAAGAATTGTGGATTACTGGAGATAGTCGAGGAGTTGAAGCGGATTGGATAAGGCAGGAAAAAGAAGGATAGACGGAAGAGATGGTTTATCGATCCTCGTGAATCACGGGCCCCATTAGTGTATGTCTCGCAATTTGTTCCGAAAATATATGATCCGTACGTTAGGGAAGCTGACTGTGTCTGAGATAGAAATCAGTATGGGATTTAAGAAAAGTTATATCAAGTATCTTAGTATCGCAGCTCGGGACTCACGAGCAACCGCTAGATGTCGTGTTACCGGGATATACACTCATTGACTGTAAAAAGTATCGAACCAATGCCGTGCACTTATCTGGCCTCGCTTGATAGCCTGAACTTTGTCCCGTAGGGAGTTGCAATCCTGTGATGGCCGATGAAGGATTTCCAACTCCAGCGCTTCACAAGTCGCTGCCACCTGACAAATACCTAATGAGGCGGCCTACGGAAAAAACGTTTTAGGTAATTTTTTATGAGTTCCCGATGATCTCCAGAAATCTGACACAGTCGACTTACCGAGCCTCTCAGGTAATGCGCCAGTCGCGAAAGCTTTGTGTAATCAGAGACAGCTCTGTTCATACGTGGATCAATCAAGGTGATCAAAAATTCTACTCTGCTCAGTTGACATGGTATTATGGAAATTACTAACAAAGCATAGTCCATCTGCTCCACGGTGCAGTGCGCATCTTCAAAATACACATCAACCAGGTCTTTCGTAAAACTGAATCTGCTATTAGTGTGTCCTTTCAGATCATCATCTTCCATAGCCAATAACTGTCCGAACACCTCCATGTCTATTACCGGTGGCGAGGGTGTGGGAGGCAATCGATCCAGTACAGGTTCAATGAATGGTAGTGCTGAGTGCGTCACATTCGCAACACTTGACGGATATGTTGGTCTAGGTCGCGAGGTTCTGGGAAAAGGGTACTGTCAGGAAAAACGACGGGTCAGCTACAAAAATATCTCAAAGGGATGGAAATCACAGGGGAGCATATCAAGATTGAAATGCGAGCTCTTACACCTTCACCGGGTGTCCTGGCCGAGTACAGGTGGGTTGACGTGGTGGAAGTGGGTGGATTGGAAGTGGTTGTGAATGCATGATTATTCGGTCTTAAAGAAGTCATATTATGATGCTTGGGTGATGGTGGAGATGAATGGAAACCGTATGCTCTGGATTGTCCATATAAATTTTGCTAGAGAGTCCAATGGGAAAAAGGAAATGTAAAGGGATTTTGGGAGATACGTTTGTTCCACAGTCAGATCAGGCGTTCACCGCTGAGGTGGAATTGGTATGTAGCGATAGAAGTGGAGGAAGCAGCCAAAACAAATTATTTCAGATAACACGATTTATCTTACTTACCATCGACTCTTCCTGACTCATTCCAGTATTGTCAGCAAGTGAGGGCGACCATCGGGATGACATTTCCTCGTCCACACTAATTCACCTCGAAACAAGCGAAACTCCTTGGGGTATCTGATCGTCGAGGTCAAAAAAGATTCAAGAGAGCTTAATCTGACAGCAGCGTCGGGATCACGAAAGCTGAGCTCGTGATGATTTTTATACAGTTCTCTGTAATTGATGCGCTCCTGGGTGTTATGTGAAACACATACGAGGGCAACAATATCCGCCTCAGTTACCACCTGAATATCCAAACAGCCAACTGACTCTTCCAGGTGCAGCGATGATTGGGATGCGGAATTTCACTTGAAGCACGTGTTAAAAACAGAGTGACCAAGTGGTGCCAAGTAAATGAATCCAAGCCTGGGTCGTCGAGGGAGCAAAATTGCACAACAAAAAGATTTCAGGAGACGGTTACTCGATGGTGAAACAGTTTATCCTCGCAAGTAGTTGATTGTTATGACGGTGATTGTCAGTGTTATTGGAGGCGAGGGATCCGATATAAAAGGTTATATGAGCACAAGGTTGAAAGAGTGGATGTCCGTTCAAATGTAAGGAAGGTCGACAAAAAAAAAATTTGGTGAAGCAAAGTGATTTTTCACCTCGTCATAAGGACCTCTTCAGTTGGACTATGATTGCTTCTACTCTGTTAGTGAACTGTAAAGGGACTAATTAGACCCTGGACGAGTGATCAAAATCTGAATTTGAGAATCATAACCTGGTTCGTCGAAACTCAGCAACTGTTAGGTGTGGTTTAGGAATGAGTGGACTATGTAGCCTCAATCGGTACTCGATCGAGAATGATATTTTTGACACTCTTGAAACCGTTCTGCGTTCGCGCAATAGATATTCCTGATTGTTTTTTTTGTCCAAGAGCCTAAAAATCTCGTTTCGATTCTACCAGCGAGACATCGTTGTCTGTGGTATGTCTTGGGGTGTCTATAGCCACTGTATCATGACTGCCCCCACATCCTCCTAAGCACAACATGGAATTCCTTTCATGACTTGTAAGTGAAATTGTATAGGTAGTTCTGACCCATTCCCAACCAAGTCAGACTGTCATAATATTTACACAGCCGCGGTGGCCTCGACTACCCCCTTCGCTGGATCGAAACCCACACTTGATCATTCCCCGCTATCTTGATGTCCATTAATGAGTTGCGTTTGCACCTGTTTTCGCGCCTTTATTGAGGCCAGTGGGTTTTAGCTGTCACCCGTTACGGCAAGTGATGACAAATACTCATCAAATTGGTATGTGATGTTTATTCATCCTAAAATCTTCCGGTCGACCCTGATCTGGATCATGCTTGGACGACTCAAAATCCACATGCGATCTTACAGAGGAGGTTGAATGAGATCATTCAAACTTGCCTCGGTGAGCTCCCTGCGCCTCCTTGGCTTATCGGAGGGTGTATCGGAGTGGGAAACGTCATGAGGCTATGCTTTCTGTGTGCATCATATCATTTCAGATCAAGATATTTATATTTATCTCTCTTGCATTATATTATTCTGCGACTTGGGGCGGTCAAAGCGCAGTGCTATGTAGTCAGATAGGTCCAAATAATGCGGGTTCACCTGCACTCCATGCCAAAAGGAGTCGAAATGCCTAAGAAGGGCATTCTAAGCACTCGGAGTGCGTTAAGTAGAGACGATGGTTGTTATGTATTATGTTCTGCACAATTCGGGATTCACTTGTGAATGCATCCCAGGAATCAGGATCAATCTTATATTCGTTCCCATATCACAAGTGTTTATTCTTCTTTCTCCTCCTGGCAAGTGCGTGGCAGGCATCCCATAATTAGGCGCCATTAGCTGCCAAGCTCGATTGAACACATCTGTAAGCTCAACAAGCACTGATTTATGCATAGTTTTGTTTGTCATACTTTGTGATGCACACCTTCGGAGTAATTGCTTATATAACCTCCTATAACCCTACGTGCGCATGATGCACAGTTTCGAGTTTTTCTGACTCCTGTACAATCATCTTCACAATCTATATATGGCCCAGATTTGCTTCCAAATTTGTCCGAGGGCGAAAAATTTGGGCCACGGCTCATGAAACTGACTTTAGATTTTTTTGAACTTCCTTGCTGCCATGAAAATTGGAAAATCCAAGCACGAGATGTCAGCATCTTAGTACCATAGCTGTATGGTGTTAGGTGTTCTGTGCTCCCGAAGAGGAGAGAACTTGAAAACTTGAAGAATGACTTGTCCATCTCCCAGTGAGGCAGATGATGTACAAGGTATGAAATTAACCAGCACTTGGATCCCTGAACATGTAGTTGTTTATAAGATGGCACAATCTACCCCGGATTTCCAGCGGCTAATGATTAATGCTCAGATTGGTTGGAGCTCACGCACAAGGAAGGTGGAAAAGAAAATTTACACAATTGTATTTAAATCTTTCATGAACAACAGCATGTAAAAAATCTCACGGGTAGTTAGGCGTAGATTGTATATTTTGGTCTGCCATGTTTCAAAGTGCGTGTTTCTTTGCCCATACAAAGATCATGCAAAAACTGCATTTTCAAAATTGTATATTTGCGGGTGGGATTGCAGGATTATCTTTTCTGGCATACTCTAGGGTGAACATCTGATGATAAAAGATAAGCAGATAAGAGGCGCAGTTTGAAACATGACGATCTTGATTTCGGTTATACTATCAGGCCAGATCTATCTCCTTTTCATTTCCCCCAAAGAGACTCGAAATGTTCTGTTACAAGTGATTTTCTCGATAATCGCAATGCAAAATGTCCCCGCATGATCAAAACCTTCACAATCTTGGGTGGCCTTTAGTGGAATGATTCAGACCTTGCGGAGGAGAAGCTGATGATAACCTTTTTCATCAATCTAACGTAACTCAATATGTTTTGTGGAACTTCAATCTATCAACTTTTCCTTGGAACATTGTTACCACTGGCACTACTTCAAGTATTTTTTTGGATTGAGTTCAGTATCTGTTCACTTGCTCAGGCAGATGGTGGAATCAAGAAGGAATCAAGTTCCCCGAGGCCAATGAAATCCACTGAAACAGTGTCTGAAGATCAAATCTTCAAAGCCGAAAATTGTGTCAGAGAGCCTTTAAGTTCGGAGTTGTGGCAAGAACTAGGAATGAATGAATATCTTGATCATTATCCAGACGGGAGCACAATGGATTTGGAGGTAAAACCGTGTGGTTCAGAGTAGTCTTAGTTCACCACAAGATTTGAATCTCAGCCTAACATAAACCTTCTTCATCTTTTGATGAAACTCTGTCGGGATCCTGGATACGAAGCAATACGCCACCTCAGTCGGGGCTAGCGATTTTGTTTGTGGTATTGGTCAAATCTGCAATGCCCATCAAGTGAGTTATCATGTTCCTACCCAATTGATTCCAAACTGGATCCACATGAAGCGTGAGGGATTTAGATATGTAGTGATTTCCTGATTATCAGAAGACTGGAATGCTCCAGTAAAAACCACATTTGATTCACTGACCTTGCTTACTCTCATTTGCCATATAAGTTATGTGAAAGAGTAAAAGGGCGAGATTGGTACGCTTTGGTAGCAGCTCAAAATTGGTCTGTCCTGATGAACAACATATACCAGGCTGCCTCAAGCGCGTCAGTTAACTCTTCTCAAGATGTAGCACATCTCAAAAAACATCAGTGTAGAACTTACCGTACTCAAGCTTGTACTGTTTGCCACTCAAAGATTGAAATGACACTGAATGAAGTGTTCACGATTTTCACGTCGTCTTTTTTTATAGGTTTGATGTCATGGGAGGTACAAAGTTCTCTCTGAGTGACTGAAATAATTTGAAGGAGGCCTATGAGCGTACATTCATAAAAAGTGCTGATTCAATTTGCAACATCTGAATCATAACACGCGCTACCACCAAACCACACCTCACTACAATACACGATACGGATCTATAGGATTCTTACCAAAGATGGCAAGTTTCACTTTGAACACCGAGAATCAATTATAACTGAATCTGCTTCATTTCTCCTATAACAGCTTATTGATTTCGAGCCCGACTCATCTGGATTATCAAAACATTTCGTAAGTATGGATCTGATAAACAATCCATCGAAAAATCACACAATAAAAAGATCAAATGAGACAATCTTTTCTAGGCAGGTTTCTTTGGTCTATCAGCTTCATGGATCAGTTCATTTCCTTCAAGTTTATTCAGTTCAATAGGTCCTCTTCCAAATTCGATTTGGGAATCAACAGGTTCATTAGCATGGGTTGGTTTAGTGACTGTTTCGTGTCATTTATCTGCTTTACAATGGGTCAATATTTGTCTTTACCTAGGATATGGTATTGATCGTTGGACTCGGGTAAGTGATGGAAAGTCTAACTAATTTATCTTCTTTTCAAACATAATCAAAAAACATATATATCTTGACCTACTGAAGTATCAGATGAATTCCTTTCCGTTCAACAATATCAGACAGGTGATTTAAACTGGATGTTAGGAAAGACTCAAGATATAATAGAAAGTGTGATTTATAACATCACCAATCAATTTATACATTCACCAATCAATCATCAAAACGGACTTGCTGGTTTAAATAGAGATGGATCTTTACTTACCGGTGTCAATTTGATTTCAAAAGATAGATTAAAGAAAGCTTACATCAGGTTATTGATGTCTAAAACTTTATGTAAATTATGGAGAATTCAGGTTAGGATTTTTTTTCTCCCTTATTGATCAATTGATCTACAAAAGAGTTCTTTGAAATTTCTTTTTTTATCTTTCTTATGGTTAATATTATTTGATTTTTAGAATGCTTTTATTGCAAGGGGAAATGTAAGTAAAATTGTAAAGTTTTAGTTTTTAAAGTCAAGAGTCATTTATATGATTCTTTTTTGAATTTTGTATGATCTCCAGGAACCTTGCAATCAGATGGGGCCAAATGGTGCAAGTGATGATCCAACAAGACTCTCATACTGTGGTCCTGATAACATGTGAGCTGTTTGAATATTTTCAATCACTATAATTCCAAGATGATGGTAGAGGTATCCTTTCTGCAACCTTTGACCTGTATTTTAACAAATTTCAATCAATTTGGTACTCAAAAATCAGTAAATGGAATATAGAACTGATCAAATTGTTGAATTTCAGAATAATGAATATATTTCGTGCAGAAGATAATGGAGACCATCATTATACAGAAATTCTAAATGCATCATATGTTGAAAACATCTATGGTTTCAGTGTTGATGAATTAACAATGGTCTCATGGAATTGTCAAAAAAAGTATAATGTCTTTGAATTTGAACCTGGTCTGAACAAGTAAGTTTATATAATCCTTATGATTTCTAGAAGATCTTCAAGAGATATTTATTGAAGATTTGATTCTTTTTTAGTACAAATGTAGATTTTTCAACAAGTTCAGAAAACTTACCATCTGAAGAATGTTATTTTAATTTACCAGTTTGTGATTGTACAATTCCAGGTAAATGATCCTATCTTGAAAAATTTGATTTGTAACCTCTCAAACTGATTCACATCCCAATGTGATTTCTTATCCATAGAGATTAAATTAGCCCTACAATCTGGAAAGAGACTCACAAAGGTTTGTAGAGAAATTGGGGGACTACCAATTTAACTTATCCATACTTTTTCTCTCAAGGCACTCTTTTAAATTGCCCCCTTAAAGTTACATGTCAAGAAGGGCACTTTCTGTCTGCTATTTTGTGACCTCTTTGTCCCATTTTGTTTCCAATTTTTTATACTAGGAATTTGTATACTTTATATATGGCTCAGATTATATGGTTGATTAGTTTCATGTGTGTTTCCTCCATGTATCTTTATCTATACTTTTTCTGTAGAGATAGTGTAGGCCCTAGGGTGTCAATGACGTAATAAGGGTCCCTGGATGTAAAAAAATTTATGCGGTGCATTTGATCAAAGCTTGTGTTGCAGGTGAACTCTGTTGAACTGCCACACCGAGTTAGGTGCAAAGGCAAAACTCGTGGTTTGGCAAATATGCAAAAAAATGATATTTTAGTGTGGAGGGCTGTGAGCATCGTTGATAGAGTTTGCAAATGCTCAACTTCTGATCTTATTGAGTTTGTAGCCTAGACAGCTGTGTGTGAATACTTCAACATCTATGTGATTCATATAACCCTTCAAAACTTCAATTTCTAACTTGACCATCTCTTTAGAACGCGTTTGTTTTATAATTGGAACATGTTGTGATTGAAGTTTTGTACAAAGGGTTATATGAATGAATTGAACATTTTCTTGAAGGTGTGATTATAAGATGCAGGTCAAGGAATTAAGCGGTGGAGGTAAAGAAACTCCGATGATCGGTGAGTTGTGTGAGTGTCGAAAAGTCCCCGCAAAGCATTTGGTGCCGCAAAATTGATTTCCTTTTATGTGTGCTGAGCAGTTGAGAATTGACTCGGATTGATTTGAAGAACCTTCTTGGTTTGTATTTGATCAGAAGGGCATAGCGAAATACATACTCTGATTGTTGCTTGGATACTAAAAGCATCATTCATCACACCCACGCTGCACGCTGCACTAATTTGGATCTGGTTTCAAATTTCTTTCAGATCTTCTTTTCCTTTGATGTTTCTGCATATTTGATGATGATGATGATATTGTTGATGTTCTTATAGCGCTCTACATATTCTATTAATTCGACTTCGATTCCAACTTGTGTTTACCAGCTTCGATCGATACAAATTGGACACTGACACTCTAAACACCCTGTCATCAAATCATCAGCATTTCCACCTAAAACCGTTCTCTCTCTCTGGTGAAGATCAACTTGCGGTCTATTGAAATCTTCAGGATTCTAGATTTATATCGACTCAAACTTTTTATTTAGTTTGAGTCTGATCTTCAATTCAGACTGGTCCAGTGCGCATCGCCATTTCATTTTTTTGATTTGGTGATTCGGTCAGATTCAAATTATACTCAAGCAACTTTCCTCATCGGGCCAAACCTCTCTCTGTCTCGCCTGTGAATCAGCAGTGAGTGTGACTATCGAAATTCACTGAATACGGTCACTATTGATAGTATCAACACGATAGCCTTCTCTGTTTGATTCTATACTTCATAGTTCGTCATCCATTTCATTTTACCTTTCTTTACCATTCCTACTACTTATCACTCATTACCTTTTCTTGCACATCACCATCACCGCTCGCACCCTATTCTTTCTTTTAATAATCAATCTTAATTACTTACCAGTCACTCGGATCCTCTTAATCATCCTTTCTTCGCCTGCTTCGACTTATCGATACTATCAACATCCTAGTTTCTTTTTGACTTACTTAACGCTCAACCTCATTCATAAATGCAAGATTTGGATGATGCCTTGCATATTGATCAGCAGCAAGGTGATTTGGAAATCTATACAACCGAACTCAGGCGTGAACCGACTACTGAAAGCCTACGAGCTCTTGTCAATCAAGCCATCGTCTCGGTCCCACACGGCGAAGACCTCCGAACCCTGAAACGAATCGATCAGAACAAGAAGTGTCGGATTTTACGAAGCTCAAGGCGGTTGATTTTAGAAAGTAAACCACAAGCTTTCAAGGATGAAGAAGATGACACGAAGAAAATCCTTCACGAACGCGCTTTTCAGCTCAAGCAGCGTCAAGCTCTCCAACGTCAGGAAGGCAAACTTCCTTCATCCGTATCTACTCCTACATCTCTTCATCAATCACCTTCCCCTCTCAACTCAGCCTCACCTGTCAATCCTGGGAAAGGCGTCACCGGCAAAATGCGCGAAGTCATCAAAACACAAATCGATACGATGAAATTAGAATTTGGAAATAGCGGTTTTAATGATGTTCCATGCCCTAAATCGGAAGACTGGTTCAGGATCGGAAACGGCGATTGTGCCCTCGACTTGGTCTTGAAAGTACAGGGACAGACGTTACCTTCCGAAACGAAACTTGCTCAAAAACCTCTTAATTTCATTGAAAAAGGAGTCGATTCACTTGGTCAGAAACTTGGTTCAATCAAACGAAGTGGAACATTGATAGGCTCACCTCATTCGTCCCAAAAGCCGCGCATGACTTCCATCACAAGTCCAGTAGTCAATGCTCTAAAGCTTAATTCTCTTCGTGGTTTTGGCTCTCCTTCCGCTTCGGCTTCGTGTAGTAATCCGCCTGCGATTTTGACTACCGCAGCATCTCCTAACCTTGATGAAGGAAATCGCGGACTTTCTTCACCTTTTACATATGTCCCTTCAAGAGCAAGTTCTCTCTCGCTGGACGGCCGCCAGACTAGGGCACCTTCCTTGGATGTACCTGCTGCAATCTTCGAAAGGGACGAGCCGGCATCAGGCAGCCTAGACACTGACTCTGAATCAGTACCCGCAGCCTCGACACCGCAAACAACCCCTGCAACTTTACCATATGCTACGGTTTCACAAGATGGCAGTCAAAGCAGTCAAAGGGCTGAACAGGATGACGGAGCGTCACAAATCGAGTACCTTCAAGATCGCATAGCGTCGCAACCTCATCAGACCCCTGATCGCTCAAGACTTTCCATTGTGACCGCTGATCTACCCACTCTAGCCACAGATACAGATCGAATCGCCCAAGATTTGTACGCCAGTCGTCTTTCGAGCTTGGAAGTTATACGCAATATGGAACTTGAAGTCTTCGCCGGCAAACTGCACCCTTCGATGGCCGGTATCAGCAATGGCGAATACCCAATGTCGACCATCCCATCTCATCAGAAAAGTCTTGGTTATCTGACCGAATCACCCCTTGATCAGGCATTGTCATTCACTCCTTCCAATATCGCCCCTCACTCACGAGCCAACACCGTTGGATCAAGTCTTTCAGCCATTAGCGGCCATACATCTCACTCAGCATCAGTTTCCAATGTTGGATCTTCGGCCAGTAGCATCCAAACGGAAACGGTCAACACCCCACCTGACCACGAACAAGTGGATTCCACGCGGGTCACAAATCCTGATCGGAAAGGAAAAAGTCATATGCGTCATCACAAGTTGAAGTCCATTTCCCATTCACCTTTACTGACCAACAGAGTCATAGACTTTGGAACTCGTCAATTTAACCGACACTTTTTCAATGGGCCACCGGCATCAACTGCCCGGCCCAAACGTAAGCTCAACCCGAAATATGAAGAGGATGTGTTGAATGTCTTTCGCCAGGCACTCGAAGATGATTCGCCTACTCTATCACCGTCCAATTCTATCACCCAAAACGCTCCTCGGCAGAAACCCGTAAAGTTTGAGACTGATGTCTTGATTCAAAACGAAGGGGGTTTCATCTTCTTTGGCCACGAGAAGTTTAATGAGAGGTTTCGGTCCAAGCCATGGCAGACCATCAAAATGATAAAACGATACGAACGACCTGGAGACTGGGAGTCCGCCTACATTGAAGGTTTACCTCAGGCCAAATTAGTGTCAGTGTGATACTCTAGTCTTTTTCATGTGCACCAGATGCTGACATCTTCAAGTTGATATACTTCCAGTCAGACACCGTATACACCATCTACGTTTCCATTACCGACACCGCAATGGCGTTGGGTCACAGATTTCGAAGTCGATTATAGGGGTAGATCAGTAGATGCCAACGGCTGGGAATACTTTGATATCTATACTCATCAATGGAAAGGCCGTCCACATGGATTGAAAACGTTTAGTCGTCGTAGACGATGGGTGCGCACTCGAATCAAGGATCCATTCAAATTGAGGAATGAATTACTTAAATTGGATGAAGAGAATCACCAATTCGAACCACATTTATATCGGGAACTTCAAGCTCACAATTTCCCAAGGGCCGGACACTGGCCCCTGATGGATGGTATCCCGGATATGCCGCCGAGCATGCCTTCTTCACCAGCGGTATGTACTATTTTTGGATTTACATAGTATCCTTTTCACCTTTGACTGATCTTGACCCGCACTCTTAGATCGTTCTGAAGTTGGCACGAATTGGTGGTAATCAAATTGCTACATTGACACATGTCAATGGTGTGCATGGACATTCGCAACTATCAAGAGACTTACCACTTAGTCTCATTTGTGAGGGTGGCGAATTGGACTTTTATAACCCATTTTTCTCGTACAAGAAACTTATGCTTGATGCTCAACAATTGATGAAACATGAAACCCCTCAACTTACATTTTCAAGTTTATCCACACCAAAATCTATTGGTTTAGGACTTGCACATTCTACATCACCTGACGTTGGGATGACATTATGGAGTGAAGAAGATTTTATGACACAAATGGCGGGTCCATGGAAGGATAGATTGGCTGCTATCAATTTGCATCGGGCCCTGAAAGTTTTGGTTGATTTCGTGAGTCTAATCACCTTGATCTGTAGTAAGCAATACTAACTAACTCGAGGCTTCATCTTGATCAGTCTGAGCATCAGAAGCTCAAGATTTGGAGGTGTTGGCTAGGTATAGACACTTTTGAGCAAGACGGTAAACTCGAGCGGCCTGATCCTCAAGACGTTTGGCAGGTCATTGAGAACCATGTGTGTGAATTTTTGCCTTTTCATCGTAAATTTTATTCCCAGCTGATCTCATTTTTTTCTTGTGCCGACTGGCTAGCTCGAGGAAGTACTTCAGCTTTTCATTTATCAGAATTCTAGATATCGATTTCTACACTTGATCAGTCTATGGCACCACCAATCCTATGCACACCCGAAAACAACATCTAACAACGACCAAGCAATGACCGTGTGTTTAGCCCCTACCACTTGTTCTCGTACGCACAATCGTCGTACAGGCGACAAAACCCAGACGGAAGCCAACCTTGCAGCCACCGGCTCGAAAGGAGGCCGAAGGGAATACCAAGAAGCTAAATTAATTGAAGCGATTGTACTTCATTCGTTATCAAGGTTTAGTTTTTGGAATGATGTTTCGAATTTGATAAATACGTTTCATTGGAAATTAAATGAAGAAATCGATTCAAGAGCACCAGTAGCAAAAGAAATTAGAACTGCATTGAATCGATTAGTTAAATCCAATTTAAAAAAATGGCATAAACAAGGAAGATGAAGACTTGAATTGATGAGAAGACCCTTTATGCTTAGTTTTGTTTTATATTCTTTGGATTCCGAGTTGAGATTTTTTTGGATACCTCTTTTTTAATATTAATCACCAGGACTTCGATCTTCAATTGTTACTATATTCATATCCATAGACAGAAGTTATTACTCGACACTTTAATTTAATTATCTCACCCTAATGGGCACTCATTTTGATGGCAGAGAGATTATGTGATGTTTTCCTTTGACTCGTATATCCATACTTTTTTTTATCAACATACGAATTCGGTTAGATGGTTGACTTCTTAAAGCACTTCTTTAGATTCGAAAATGGTTTCTTTTCCTTATCTTCTTCCTTTCACACAAAGTTTTATATTTCATCGTTTATAAACTTATTTAAAATCATCACTTGACACATTCACTTACATTCACAAACCAACTTACAATCACCAACTACTTTCCATTGTATACCTTCTCTATCGTTTGCTCTTGACTTGACGTGTTACAAATCCTTTCTTCTTTTTGTTATTTGTAACCTATATACCCGCAATCATGCAATGTGAAACTATTTGTTACTTTGTTGAAAGGATTATGTAGATGGTTTTTATCTTTGTCTTTTCATTTTATTATATCAATCATCTTTTTCTTTTTGGTTTTCATTTCTTCCAATCCACCTTTTTTCTCTCTCTCTCTATTAGAATCATCTGCCTTTTTTTAGAAAACTTTTTTGTATTTGTTTTCTTTCTTTTCAAATTGTATGATCATTTTTTTTTTCTTCGATTTCATTTTGATAAATAATTTTTGAATTAATAAAAACCATTATGCGCTTTTTGCACTATTTTTGAAGATTTGAGAATCATGTGAGGTTCTTGAGAATTGTTTAATAGTTTTGATTGAGATCAACTTTTTTTTGTTTTGAAGTTACAAATACGATTTTTTCTTTTAGCAAACAGTGAAAGCGCGGTAGAATATGACAGTTGAATGAAACGCTTCTTAAAAGAAGTTTTGTAAAGATCCAGATGATGATAATTGGTACCACCATTAAGTTTGAAAAACCCCAAAAGAAGCATGAATGAAAAAGATCATTTTGTGTAATCATATTTCAACGTTTTATAATAATAAAGTTGAGTTCAAATATCTTTTTTGATCAACTTTGCTTAAATAATTTAATTCAAAAAAATCATTTCATTTCAAACAAATCTTAATCTCATCAACAATTGAATAATGATATACAACAAGAAGTCAACCAAACAATTATTTATAACACGAAAAAGTTAAACTTAAAGATACAAGAAGAAATTTCAAAACAAAAAACAATAACTATTCATTCATCTTTCAAAAGTTCCTTCTACTACTCCTCCCTCGATCACTTTTTTCGTTTTCTTTTTCGTTTGGTTTTGGTTTGATATAAAATTGATTGCTTTTTAAAAAGTAGGAGAAACAAGTAAATCATAAATAGCTAAAGGAGATTTCAATTTATCTTGATGAATTGAATTAAATTCATTTGCAATCATGAATGCAATATCAAGTGATTGTTCATAATTTAAACGAGGATCACAAGAACTCTAGAAAAGCATCCAAATCGATCAAAAATAATAATAATGATAATTAGTCATGATTAAAGAACCAAAACCAAAAACCTATTCACATACCGTATAATTTAAAGCCAAGTTTTCAGGTTTGAGTCCCATACTACCACCTAAACATTCCGTTACTGAATAACCTTCTTCGTCTAATTCACCTGTCATTTCTAAATGTACTCCACCTAATCTAGTTCCATGTTCATGATGAATTTTGAATGATAAACGGATCTCATTGATAATATCCTCTGATAGTCCATCAAAAAGAAAGATCAGAATCAGAATCAAATGATCTCCATAAGATTAAGAAGAAGAGAAACGGACCGGTATATCTAGTTTTAACCCCATCTAATCCTTCCACATTCTTAGTATTCCCATGCATCGGATCACAAACAAAAATCGAATGACGATGAGCCGAATGAATGACGGATCTAATAACTTCTGGTAACCGATTTTCAATTTCTTTAATCCCAAATCTACAAATCAAAATCACTTTGCCTTGTTCATAACTAGGATTAACTAAATCCAAGATTTCCATTAATTCCTTAATGATCAAATTCGGTCCTAATTTAATTCCAATCGGATTAGATATGCCTCTTAAGAATTCTAAGTGTGCATGATCTAATTGTCTGGTTCGATCTCCTACCCATAAGAAATGAGCTGATAAATCATAATGATTCGGTTTAGGTAACCATTTTTGAGAGGTCGGTTCGGGTTTGAGAGTTTCGGTTTGGAATTGATTGGATGTACTTGGTTTTAGGTTTCGAGTTCGATGTGCTTGTTCTGGTTCATCACTTCTTGTAAGTGCTTCTTCATATTCTAACATAAGTGCCTGTCATATTCATAAAACCCCCCGAAAAACCAAAACATGAATGAATGAAACAAGCAAGAATCTATTTAAGAAAGAAAACATCAGAATCTTGATAAACAAACAAACCTCATGACTCGTCCAAATATCCACTCTAAAGTATGATGCTGATGACCCACCCCCACAGTTTTCATAAAACTTAACGAATCTTGTAACCTTTGAATGATTTCTTCATACTTTGATTGTAATTCAGGTGATCGAACATGAGCAAATGACCATGCAGATGGTCTATGTAAATCAGCATAACCTGATCCTAATAATGATCTAATATAATTAATTGTAGCAGATGAATGATAATATGCCCTAGAAAAGTTGAGAAATGTGGATCAGGATCAGTTCTTTTTTCTTTGGTGGTTTTGTAGGGTTTAGAGAATCGGTTCATTACATTAATAGTCTTTCTGGATCTGGAACTCTTTGATCAAGTGAATGACCATTAACATTATCACCTCTAAACCCATCCAAAAAAAAAAAACAAGAAAAACTCATGAATCCCAATCAGTCATCATAAGAAATATATGAAGTAACTAACCTAAAACTAGGATACTGATGACCATCAACAAGTTCAAAAGCCGAACTTCTAGGTTTAGCAAACTGACCAGCAATCCTAGCAATCCTAATAATAGGTAATCTAGAACCCCAAATCATAATCAAAGACATCATTAAGATTAATTTGATTCTTAGGGAGATTTGATCAGATTGACAATCTTGAAATGATTCTGAACAATCTCCTCCATGTAAAATAAAAGCTTCACCACGTGAAACTGAAATTAATTGGTTTTTTAATTTGACTATCTGAAAAGAGAAAACAAAAGATGAATAGATTAGTTTTTTTCGTTTGATTCTTTTTTTTTTGTGGAACAATGGTTACTTACTTCTTGTGGAGTGACTAAACCAGGTAAAGTTTGTAATTTTTGTTTTATACCTGTTAGTTTATGAGCCGTTTCAGATGGATAGATTACGTTTTGTTGGATTGGTTTGTTTCTCCAACTCGATTTGTTCCATTCTTCCATTGCTTTTGGGTATTATTAATGTTCTGATGTTGTTGTTGTTGTTGTTGTTTGCTTGGGAAGTGTTGAAGAGTGTTGGTGGTTATATGTTAGATTGAGTGAGTGACATGTTAGTTGACATTTGAGTGTTTGAGATATCTCGATTTGATCAGCTGACAGTTTTGTGTTTCCCAACCAGAACAACATGAGTACCAACCAATCAATCTCAATAGACTCTCTACCTTGTCAGTCAACCATTCTCATTCTTCATTTACCATCTCAATCCTAAGTGAATTTGACTTTCTTTCTTTCTTTTAGATTACGATCGAGATTTAGATTTGATTCCAAACCTAAGACAAAGAGTAGAACGAGAAATCGAACAAGAAATCAAACAATCATCATCAAAAACCCCACAAACTCATCACAGCTTCTTAGACCGATTTCCAGATCTAAGCAGCATCAAATCAAACCAACCTAAAGAAATCTATCATGAACTATTACATCAATCATTCCCAAGTCTTTCTAACTCTCAACCAGAAACCGAACCTGAAACAGAACCCAAAGGATTAGATTTAGAAAGACTCAATATCCCATATCCAACTGATCCAAACGATCTAAACTCATGGAATGATTCATTAAAGAATGCTAAATCACAAATCGAACAACAAAGAATCAGATTATTAAATTTAAAACTTATGAATCAATACGGATCAAATCATTGGAGATTAAATAACTTTTTAATCGAAAAAGAAATTCATAAGTTAGAAAATCAATTGGGTTTGGAACTTCAGAAGATTGATCAAATTAATAGACGTAGAAAAATTAATCAAGTTAAGTTTTAACCCATCTCTTTGTTTTCCCCAAAAAAGTCCTCCTTTTTTTTGACAACTTTCTTTGAAATGCCATATATATACTGACTGATGATCGAATTTTTCTTTGTTTACTAATAGATGGAAGTAGGTGAAAGATTAAATGATTTAAGTCAAAAATGGCAAGACTTAATCTCAAGTAACATTTCACTTGAAATCATGAACTTAAATTTAACACAAGAACTTGAATTCATGAGATCTCAAGAAAAAGAATTAAAAAGTAAATTAAATCAATAAAAACTTCATGATCTCATTCTCCACATGATAAACTTTTTTGATTTTGAAAGATTGATGATCGAGATGAAGCCCAAAGGGGTGATTTTGATGATCAGTCTTGGTTGTTTGGATGATGGTTGAAATGGATTTGATAGACTCGAAAAAATAAAGAGGTACAAGTAAAGACAATGGATTTGTTTAGTCTTTTCTTTAGAATCAAAGTTAACTAATTAAAAGCTTTCAAATCAATCTTACACTTCCTCTCGTGGTCCAACTCTGATCTATTTGTTTTTTTGGTCAATCATTTTTTTGTATTTGTATACAATCAGAATTCTTATTACAGAATTGTAAGAGTTGACTTCTGATAAGCTGGATCTCATAGAGTTGAGGTTTGAAGGAAAGATTGGTTTGATTTAATCTGGTAAGCTTGATACTGCAAAGGGAGGCGCGGGGGCGTTGGTGATCAACTTCAAGAGTTGCAACATAGTCATCGAAATCTTGGAGGATTGAATGTCCTTCCATCGTTGAGGAGTCAATTCGAGCAATATTACCACTGCTAGTGTGCAAGTGGCATCCGCGTCGCGCGAGTACATATACGATCGATCGCGTCCAGTGCAGGTGGTTTTGACAAGGAAATAAGTTTCTAAACATCTGCTCAAGTTCAAGAGTCATTCAAGACCCTTACAACCCTCATCATCATAGTCCTCCACCACAGAATCATCCACCAGCTCCAAACCAAGCCTATCAAGCTTCTTAGGCACTGTCCTCAGTTATGTATCAGCATCAAACCAACAATATATGTATGTAATCCTTCAAACCATTTAAACCTTAGCAGTCACCCAACCAAACTATGTAAATTGATGATCTGCCAAAATTTACAGTAAAAGTGTGAAAAAAAAGTAAGAAGATTCATAGGAGAAAGAGACCACAAAATTGACAAAAACCAAAACCAAAAAAATGTAGAACCCATGAAAGTTTTAATACCTAAACCACCAAGAAACCTTATCGAGGTTTTTTTCTTCTTCTTCTTTCATTTCCTTCATTTTTATAAAACAATCTACACACTAAATGAAGAGAAGATTGAAAAAAAAATCAGAGTTTTCGAAACGAAAACACACACACACACACACTAGATCTCTTCATCAAAAAAATGTAACCCCAATATACAAAGAAAAAAACAATAGATTGATTATTGATTTCATTGAGATAAAGGTATCACACTCAAAAGAAAAAAACAATCATTTGTCTTGTTTGGATATTTTGTCTATCATGAATCTCACTCTCACATCTTGGTGATCTTCATCTATATCGATCATCACATCTTCTTTCTTCAATCCACTCTCCTTTGTTTTTTGGTTTTTTCATCTTCTTATGCTGGTAACTCAAACTTTTGTCCTCGCATCACTCTTGTAAAGTAGACTGTGATAAGAGTGTGAGGTGATTGATCAGCATCGAGTCATAGAATTCAAAAGAATCGTGATGGAAACTTACTGTAGAAGAAGTCGCCGTAGAGACCAGTTTGAACTATACCGGAGATGATTGCAATAGGGTCAACAGTGTCCTCAGTCATGTATCTAGATAAAAGATCAAACAATCAAACATCAGTCAACTGATAGGTCATCAAGGCTACGATTGCGAGATGGGCTTACCGGAAGATCCAGTTAGGAATGTACATGGCTCGGTAAAGTCCAAGTGCAAACAGATAGTGAGTGGTGATGGTCTCAGCTTCACCAGTTCGATGTAACATGAACAACTGAGGGAAGACGGCCACAGCTTCTAAGTAAATACTAAAAGCCCACAAGACTTCCACAACAGTGCTATATGAAGCGTGCAGATACCCATGAGTGAGTTCAAACATACAGCTTGTAGAGTATCATCATCATCATGTTGACTTACAATTTATAGTTAAAGACCAAAGACAGTAAAGCGCAGGGTGCAAGTAGGTATTCGACTCTGAACGTATCGATTGCAGGATCTTGAGTAGGTTTGTACTTGAAATACATCAGGTAAACAATATAAGCCGAAGATACAATAAAGAAGATTTTCATAACGGTGTTATATATCTATATAAAGGTCGCAAACCAAACCGAATTTAAACCAAGATCAATTTTCAAACTTCAAATCACTCATGAATGAAATCAGAAATGAAAAAGAACATACCGAGATATAAGGTCCAGTGATCAGATCCACATAACGAGTCATAAAGACAAGTACATAGAGAACTTGAGTTTTAAAACTAATACCTCTTGCTGAACGAGACTTTACAATCTTTTGAATCAAAATAAAGATTGAAGCTAAATGTGATAAATCACCAATCAATCTAAACAAATTCATCTTGAGATCTCAACTTGATTTGAAGATGAAGATGATGGATTAGATAACTTTGTGGGGTGTAGATTGATGTGTGAACTTTGATGATGATCGAAATAGCTGGGAATTGAGTGATCGAGAGTTAGGTTTGAGAATTTCTGGTCCAAAAAACTTTCTGCTTTTACAAAACAAAACAAGTCAAGTAAATCAGAAAGCGTTTCTCGAGGATGAGATGATGAGATGAAGGGCAAAAAAAAGGTTCCCGGGTGTTACGGTAAGTCAAGAGAGCTTGACGTTACTAGGTTTGGTTGGTGTGGTGATTGATACATACCTACAACAACTATTGTATGGGATGAATCCAGCCAGTTGATGACTTGTTAAGATAAGTAAGTTTGCTCTTCTTGCTAAACTTATATTCAACCTAAAAGAACTCGATCAAAGTTAAAGAATCCTATATATTGGAGATCAAAGAGTCAAGCAGTTCAGTTGGTAATGAATCAAAAGTTGTAGTCTAGGTTAATGAAAGAATTGAATGCTAACTTTTGTTTGAGTTTAAGTTGACAATGGGGAAGAAAGAAGTGAGTGATGAGTTGCTTGAGGATGGTTTGATGAAGACAATCAGAATCAGTTCTTGTTGGAAGTTGTCAAGTGAACCAAAGCTTGGACGTGTACATACATACATAGTACGTGGACGCAGTTGGTGTCACTCCACACTATAAGCATAGCATCAGCAATATCCTAATAGTTAGCTACATCTGAAACATCTACCTCACACACACCTCGACTTGGATCAAACTTGTTTCACCCAGACACAATTGTTCTGATCATGATCCATAAACCTTACTTGACAACATGCATAAATAATATCCTTCACCAGATCTTGAGGCCGCATTTTGCTCAAATAAGGACCAGGCGCAGAATCCCAGGTCTTCGTATTACCAAAACGAGTCGTTTTTCACGTTTGCTCACATTTGTGTCTAAAGATTGAGTTATTTTGCCATCTGAGACGCCATACGTGATGCGATCAGCGATTCAGTGGTTTTCTTCTTGTCGTGCCTCATATAGTTTCAGTGAGGCACGACTTCATACACTCATGAATGAGGAGTGTGTGATGTTGCTCTTTGCATGACCCCAGATTTGTTGCATTGCATAGTGAGGGAATAAAAAGTTCTATTTCCGGTGCTTTTTATTTTCTTACTACTTGAGGTTTTTAACGTGTAACATTCGATTTGATGACGTTTAGGAAGTGATTTATCTTGCACTCTCTTGCACTTCTATCCTTTTTGGCTCGTCTGGTTAACCTTTGTGAGCTTCATTCACAGCAAAGAGCTATGGCTTTTGAAATAACCTTTCTGTGAAAGGTTGCAAGTGTATATCGAGCCCGTAATCCGATCTCCTCAGTCACATTCTTTAAATCTCTACCTGTGTGGTAAGTCTGATTTCTCTTGCTTTGGTAGATATGTTGTTGTGATGCCTATTTGGCTGGAATAGTAAATGTCGGACTTCCATGGGGGCAAATTTGAGCGGCAGTTGGTGAGAGGAAGGGCAATCGAAGAGGAATCGGCGTGAGTCACAGGGAATCTGATTTGTCAAGAGAACGGGCTCAGCATTCGCGCTGAGGTTTCAATCATCGGACATCTCAATGCCTAGGCATGGTGTTAGATAGGTAGGTGTGTGACATGCTGTACCATGTCACATGCACTCTAAGTGAGATCATCCAGGATTATCAGCAGATCTCAAAGTCAAAGATCAGTCTAATGATGCTTTTGCCTACTAATAACGAGTGCAAACCAGGAAATCTGCGCCTGGTCCTTAATATCATGTTAGGTATGCGCAGTAGATAATTCACTTTCCCTACAAACCTCACGGCGAAGAAGATCCAATCTTGATAAATATATGAACTGACAACATATTCATCTAAAAGCACCATTTTGGATTGAAGTACTGTGTCAAGTTTTAACTGACTTCTACTTTCTGGCTAACTCCCTGGGTTAAGTACTCTCATGTGAAGCCCACCTGTCAGCTGCGATGAGCTCAAGATCCGAAATCTTTCACGATAGTGTGAAATCGAGACAAATGCTCCTGGTGTATACTTGTACCTCAGCCTCAGATTGGTCAGTCTCGCGTTTACTTTCTTCAGTGTTCTTTGAGTGGCAAAAATCAAAGACTTTGTAGGTTGGACTCATCATAAAACTTCAAATTGTTCAATAAGCTGATTGGGCATAGAGTTCTGATCACAAGGGGTTCATATCACAGCACATGGAATGTTGTAAAGGCACAAAATAATCGAAAAGTAGTCATACATTATGTAGATCTAGTTGGAAAAAACAATTCCAACCATCTCAAACTGAACTGAAACAAACACTTTGGATCCTCATGTACAAACCGGAGAGTCTCCGATTTTGGCCGTAAGCGTTGCTGGCACGTAAATAGATCCGAAGATTCATGGGTTTACAATTGCGACACCCTTACCCTGTATGATGGAAAAGATGAGTCCAACTTTTCCATCCAACATAATCTTTTCAGAAAGAATAATACATACGATTAGTGGATTGCATCCGTTTTCTTCACCAGCCAAAATCTGTTTCAGGGCGCTGATCATACCCTTGCTAGAACTATGGGTAATAAATCTTGTAAGACAAATGCAAAGAGCATGTTTGAATTACCATTGGAGGTAGGTTTTTGATTGCTTACCTGTCGATGTTACTGGTACCCTGAGCCTTGATTTAAACCTATTGGATGGGATCCCAAGAGATCAATGATCAAAAGCATGCCAACAAATCAATATACCTCAAGTCTTTCATCGAGAAGTATCCAAAAGGACAACAGTTGAACAAGAGGCTTACCACACAGGTTCCACAAGAGGCCTCGTAATAATTGCTACCAGGAATGAAAACACCTTTAGGATCCATCGGGAACTTGCCAAGGGCTCTGTGAGTAGCGGTATCGAAAGACGTGAAAGTAATGAGAAGAAGTGCAGATGAATGAAAGCTTGGTTTTGAACGTATACATAGGCTTACTTTTCACACTGATCAGCTTCAAGTCGATCCTTACAGGTCGCAGATACACTGTAGGTGAAGGCTGCAAAGAGGACTAGGGTTTTGATCAAGCCTTGCATGTTGTGAGATGAGATGAATTTATATAAAGTAGCAAAAGACAAATGATGTAGATACGAGTAAGATAGTAATAAGTTAATAACTAGTCGATTGATGAAACAAAGACTGGGAAGAATGGAATGATTGGATTGCAAAAGCCAAGAATCCATTGGGATTATATACTCCAAAAAAAGCCAACTAGATCAAATTCCAAAAATAACGATCCTTCTGTCTGATCATTGACAGTGACTCAAAGCAGCTCAAAGCTATATCTCTGGGCTATGTACTTATCTACATACTAAAAAGTGGTGCTGCAAAATTTTAAATGCCGGCAGCCGAAGCCTGTGAGACTGTGACCAACTGCTTTGAACATCCGGTGGTCAGCACTCAAAATTGTAGTGACAGAATCTCAGGTGAGCACTCTGATGACTCGCTCGATGTTCCAGCTCCAATGGTATGAATTCCTAACACAGCATAACTAACAAATAGATAGAGAAAAGATAATGAGAGTTGCTAACCTGTAGTGACAGAATCTCAGGTGAGCACTCTGATGACTCGCTCGATGTTCCAGCTCCAATGGTGAAGAGCTGGAATATCGAGGAGTGGTGCGACTACATAAGGTAACATCCCAAACCTAAGCCCCGAGCTTTGTCGCGGACGTGGCCCCGTAGACTACGCCTCGCCACGTATGGCCTCCGGCCATAACACCCCCCCCCCACGGCAAGACAAAGCTTATCCTCCAAAAAGAAAGAAAGAAAGAAAACAAAACACACACACAAAAAATAAAAAATTGAAAAACACAAGATAAAAACTCCACAACAAAATTCATCACAGAACAAAGATGAAACTATCTTATCTACGTCTCCGCACATCTTTCACACATACACCTAATTGCCCCCTCACCTCTTTAAATTTCAACGGCCCCAATGACTTCGTAAATGTATCAGCTAGTTGTTCGTTGCCAGGTATCCATTCTAAATCAACTTTCTTCTTGTATAACTGCTTGTTGATGTGGTAGAAGTCTCTCTCAGTATGGCGTGTACGTTTATTTGCAGCATTTTCTTTTGAAACATGAATTGATGACTTGTTATCTCCGAGGATCAAAGGGGTGCCGATTTGCGGGACAATGTCTTGAATAAGTGATTTTAACCAAATGGTGTCTCGACATGCGGCACCTACAGCCATAAATTCGGCATGACATGTCAATGTTGCCACACACCCTTGACGCCTTGAAACCCTCAGACTAAGGCATGGACCCGGCCTCAGGACACCCGGAACGGTCCTGGTCCGGGCCCGGGCTCGAGCTTTAACGGCCCATTGAAAATGCTCTTGGGCCCCAGAGTAGTGTGCTCACGGGCCAGCCAAAAGGGCACAACCAAGGGATTATGGGGATGGAAAGTAGTCTTGAGATGCTCAGAAGGATGGGGGGAGTACTGATTATGGCAGAAAAGGGAGTTTCAAAGGCTATCATGGCCAATATGATCCTCCAAAATCACGATTTTGCCCGATGCTGAGCCACACAGACAATTTTTTTGTATTACCGGGCCGGGCCGGGCTAGCTCGAGCAAAATAGGGGCCCGAAGCGGCTCATTTTTTGGAGGCCGGGTCGGGCCGGGTCCAAGCCTTAACTCAGACGATTTGAAAAAATTGAAAACCCCTCAACCCTCTCAAGAAGATTGAAAACTCCCGCGACTCACATATCATTCCAGGCTCCATGATTTCCAGAAGGGGATTACATATGCCTGTCAGTTTTATAAATTTGAACAACTGCACAGGCTTGCACAGGTCATGTCACAACTTTCTCACATTATTTTAAACTACTCATGATGTCATGTTCAATAAATGTGAGACCGTGTGAGCGTATCAATTGGTTCACTACCGCGCCCCGGATTGAGAGCACCACAACGCGAGACTGACCGGTGCTGCAAACGTAGAAAATATGTACACCATGTTATTTTTTTGCTGGAGGGAAGACTCTTTCACATCTCAATATGTGAGACATCCGTTCAACACCACCGGCGCTCCGCCTGTGCTACCACTTTCTGGATATAGCGGGTTTCGCGCATTGCTATAGCTATGGTGGAAGCCGGAAATTTATAGCGGTTCTTAGATCCGCTTGGTATAGCGTTTTTCCGCTGTGCTATCAGCAGCCACAGCGGCCGCGAGCGCTTAGCGACAGGGCGCCACCGAGCGCCCCGTAGCATCTCACAGCACCTCATAGCAACGCCTATCCCAATTTGATCAAAAAAAATGACTCGTTTGTTGTTTCAATCTTTTTGTCTTGAATTCAAGAAATCACCTCGGGATAGAAAAACTTCGAGAGCAAAAAGACAATTTAGATATCTAAAACATCAATGACCATGTCCAATTCCTACCAATCCAAACAATTGAATCTTTCATTCAAATAAAATCACCTCGATCAATGAATATTCAAACCGTTCAAAATCGAAAACTTATCCAAGAATGAGACCAAATTCAACTTCAGATTCAAGAGCATTCAAACGATCTGGTTCATCAGGTCATAATGAAACTAAATCCATTTCAAATCGAATCGATGAAAACAAACCATATTCACAAAACTCTTCATGTTTGCTTAAATTACGAAATTTGGCCTCAACCGCCATTGATCCTTCAGCATGTAAGTTAAAAACCAGGAGATGAAGTCTTACATGATGAAGTAGATTCAATGAGTAACAGTGAAAGAATGAATTATCAAACCAGTTCACCCAATCGACTTTCTCAACACGTATCAACTTCATGTTTTGCAGCTTGGTCTACAACCAATTCTTCATCTCAATCAAAATCTTTATTGTTTTTATCTCTAAATTCAAACCATTCTACTGAAACTTATTTAAATGATAATCTTTAGAAATTTAATCTCTTTGATCCTAAAAGAAATCACCATGATCAAGTTTTACAGACAAGATCAATTCCTTACCATGAAGCTTATCCATCAGATTGGTGTTCTGATCCTCATTTAGTTAATACTTCAAATTGAATCTTACCTTGGAATTAATTCTTTTCAATCGATTTTTTCAATTCTTAGTTTGACTTTCTTCTTTTTTCTTTTATATCTTGACACATCCCAACTCTGCCTTTTATTATACAGATGCTAGATACACATGTCTCAGAAACAACCCATGTAGTTCAAAATGTCTTATAACCCCATTTCTAGCTTTCTGTCTTGTTCAACCCCGCTTTTATGCGCTATTTCGCGTGAGATTTGCCCATAGCGGAGCGGAGCGATATAAAAGATCACACCGCTCTCAGAAGTCATAGCGCTTCCAAAAAAATAGCGGAGCGATTAGCGATTTATCATAGCGCTGAAACACTCCGCTCGTAAAAAATCAAAATATAGCGGAGCGCCGGTGGTGTTGATCCGTTGATCTGAGTCATGAGGTACACACGTAAAAAAGGAGTGACATACTGTCAAATCCCTCGGATGTGAGTTAAACACCTTGTAGTCATTAATTTACTGCATACATAATTTATTGGACCCATCAAAAAAAGAAATTTTTAGTATTAGGGACTGGGTGAGGTTTCGACCGACAGAAGATTTAGCCACCTCAATAAGCGCTGTCCTCCTCTCGACGGCGAACGACACACACCAATTAAGGTCACAGATGCAGACGCTGTCTTTCAGACAGCAGCAGTGGGCTAAAAACCACCGCACGATCTTTGACACCAAAAAGACCTTTTGGGTCCTGTTCAGCTTACAACCACCAGTCTTTGTTCCCACTATTGACCTTGCAGACCAAAAATCAATCGAACCAGCCTCCTGCGCGAAATGGCTTGGCGTCAAGATTGACAACCAACTAAGCTTCAAGCAGCACCACCTTGAGGTCATTGCCAAGGGTCAGCAACGTGCTGGCTTTTTAGCAGGCCTCTCCAAGACCGGCTGGGGCATACCACCCCAGCTTATGAGGATCCCCATCACTACCACCATCCACGCGGCGAAGGACTACGGCGCCATGGCCTGGACACCCACTGAGCCTCCGAAATTCATCATTGAAAAACTAACGCAAATAGACAACACATGTTCCCGAGCAGCTTTAGGAACGCTAAACACAACACCTTCCGTATTCCTTCGACATGATTTAAATCTGTTCCCAGTGAAAGCCCGCTTACAGAGCAAGGCGCTGAGTTTCATGGCCCGTTGCTTAGCAAAATCAAAAACTCATCCATTTTTCAACCTTATACAGCAGGCACAGCACTCAAACCCAAAAAGCCATAGGAATTCATTTCACCATTTCTTTCAACACCCGCTCCACAAAAACTTTGAAGAACACGTGGTCCAGCTCCCGGTTGACCCGGCTTAGACACTAGTACGACCCCCCAACTATTCAACTATCCTCCAGGACGACGAAACCACAGCCACGGAGGGAACACTCCGCCTGAAACCCAGCAGTCATCACATACTCATCTTTACTGATGGATCTCGAATCCCAACCAAGAACACCGCTGCAGCGGCGTGGTGTGCCAACACCACCACATCGAAATCAACACACTTAGGCCTGGCTCGATCCCAAGGAATCTATCAGGCAGAGTACAGGGGTGTCCAGCTAGGGCTACAAATGGCCCTAGAAATGGCGACCCCTGCAACCCATCGAACAAAAATTGTGTTAGACAATCAGGGTGTAGTTAAAGACCTAAAATCTAACTCGTCCTCCTTCTCTTCTCTAGACAACCGCCAACAAACCTTCAAATTACTCACTTGCATTCACCAGAGCTTTCCCTTGATGAAAGTCACCATCCGATGGTGTCCCGGACACAAAGGGATCCCCGGCAACGAGGCTGCCGACAAATTAGCTAACACCCTTGCAAAAAGCGACTTACCGAGCACATTTACAAACACGCCAAATTCAGCCGCTTTCATATCGGCCATTAACAAATGGAAAAAGTCCCAAACAGATTCGTTCACGGAAGCGGAAATCAAGAGGCTAGTTCAGAAACCTCAGCCGAAGAAACACCTTCAAGCACTGTCAAAACTTCTTAAACACAAAGTTGCCACTATCACACAGCT